AGTCTAACGGGAAAGACCCACAGGGTCTGGAACGGCTTCGCTCCGGCAAAGTCAATACATTGAACTATTCTTAACTTGATAATAGGAGAGGCCAGGGTTGTGGGATGTGGGTGTTTATACACACCGCCATTTGTATACACCGATCGGCGGATCATATTCTATGACTCTCGGGGAAACACGCAAGAGCTCGTGAGATTGCATCCAGTCTTGCAAGAAATATCAGTAATCTTGCGAGCGCTTCTCCTCCGATGGCGGTGGATTGGATCTGGTGGGCACTGTATGCTTGCAGACCTGATCCGCCTGCCGGTTCGGAGCAGAGTGGGCCCATTCCGGATCCTGTGGGTTTAGCCAGTGAAGTGATTTGTAAACTTGGTGCTTTTTTGAAGATTGTCCCTTTAGTATTTAAGTTATATTTGTCGTATTAGAGCCATGCTGTGTCCTAATTAAAATATTTTTTCTTACTCTATGGCAGGTAGTTGCAAACAAGCATAAAGTAAACCTATAGCATGTGTAGTTAGCTAATTCAGCCAGAAACTGACTGCTAATCCTTCACCTCTGATTGGATAGAAGTGCTGTAAAACGTCATCACATGTTCAGACCAAGCTGTCGGCTCTGTACATCAAACAGAACATTACAGAACCTAACCCTAACCCGACAGATGATGACGTTTCACAGCCATGAGGAATAACCAATCAGAGCCCAGCTTTTTCAGTCACCTTCTTACAGTCTCCCTGGGACAGAAGTTGTATCTCTGCTGTGTTTTCTCTCACTTGTTAAAACTTAATGGTTCAGGGTTGTTTTGCAGCTTTTGTTGCACAAACTTGTCGGCCTGTCCACACTCAGATTCTGCTGTTTCTCTGTACTGTCCTGCAAGGGCGTGTCTAGACTCTTTGACTGAGGTGGCACAGCTGAGGTCCTTTCATAGTGAGTAGAGAGTAAAGATCATCCTTAATTTGCATTGATACAGCAGTTATAGTAAAATTACATTCACATTAGCCAATAAAATACTCATTCCTGTAATATGTAACGACTGCAGCCCTAATTAAAAGTTAATCCCAACTCGCAGGTTCAGTTATAGTTCTTGAAATGCGCACAGAAGCAGCACATGCATCGTCTCTTGAAGAAGCCGAACTATCCCTTTAAATGTCTGAGTTATAGCTACAAATTTAGAGAGTGCGTCGTTCATGAAGACAGGGAATGAGATGTAGACTCGAAAGAAAAGCAAGAGTGAAGGAAAAAATGAGAGATTCAGAGATAGAGAGAGAGAGAGAGAGAGAGGTGCGAGGTCCTCATCATGCTTCGCCCACACATATTCCATCCACTTCTACATCACTCCATTACCTCCATGTAAATGACAGCTCTCTGTGTCCCGCTGAGGGGAGAAAAAGGCCTATTAACACCACAGCAGAGAAAGCCCGGGCACTGTTCCACCCACGCAGAGTGCTCCTCCTTCACCCTCACACTCCCACACACACTCACTCTCACACACACACAGATACGTACACAGCTGGCCAGGGGGAAGAAGGGCGGATGGTAAGAGGAGGTGGGCATGCAGGATGGTCATTCAGCAGAAATTCTGTTCCCGAAGAGCCTCCAAACAGCGGCACAAAAGCAGAAAGCAAGATGAAATCACTTATCTAGCCTTGATTGTTGGCGGATGTGGGCTGGAGCAGTAGGCAGCGTGGGTAAATTAAGCATTACGAATCAACCTGCCTGCTCTTTTTCTCACTTTCAAGCCTTCATGTCTGATTTCTCCTCACTAATGGAGGAAATTTGTACCGTGGTGGCAGACAGACTGGTACAGCTCTGTTATTATGTGGCATTACGGAGCGCGTTGGAGGAGGGGGGACCTCTGCTTTGGTGTCAAACGCTGCGTAATTTTTTTGTGTGAAAAAGAACGAAAACAATGAGCGACGTTGGACAAAACCTCAGAGTTTATACACCGCGGATGCAGCTACCGTGACGTCAAGCACAGGTTTTTCAACCTTCTCTCCTTCAGCCTCGAGGCTACAGATTTGGTTTTTGTGTTTCCAGAGCCAGAAGTGGCCATATTTCGAGGAAAAGGGAACAGGCTCTACAAACAGGGGCCTCATGTCTAACTTAAGTTGTGTTTCTGTTGATTTTGGTGTAATTATTTGCATTTCCATTGTCCAAGGTTGAGAAACACACATACAAAAAAAAAACATTTTGCACCATTCTAGCCTTTTGGGACCTTTCTCTTAAGGTAACAAATGTACTTGTCAGACCCCAACAGGCCCAGAAACACTACAATCTTTTGACTGAGAGAAAGATGAAGGGAAGATATTTCTTCAAACTGATGTTAGCTCATCTTTAAATTTGCTTTAATCAAAGGTGGAGTAGGCAGGAATCTGTTAAAGAAGCATCTTTTTTTGTGGTGTATATACAAATACAAAAAAGCTTTTAATTTCAGTCAATAGTTAGTTATAGATGACATTTGGTTTATATAACGACATAGCTGTGTTTTGTTTTGTCTGTGTAGTCAACGTTTTAAATTTTTTAGCGGCCTGCTCTTTCTGACTGTAAACAAAGTCATTCTCCGCCTCCCCAAACCTGATTGGTTGTGAAGCAGACGCTGCTCCCTAATGTTGTGAGGCACACCTCACGTCCTCCAATAATGTTCACGAGCCCAAACAAAGTTAGCGTGCTACAATACCGGACAGTAGAAACCAACCAGAAAGTACAGAAAATTGTCTGAATCCTCCTTTGGCCACGACTGCCAACACAAGCAAGGAAACTAAGTAAATATCGGAGACTCTGGCAGAATAACGTTCGCTTAAAAAGGAGGTAGACCGGACAAGAGCTAAAAAGCCGGGTCAACATTTGCATAAACATTGGGGGACGCTTCAGGATCTTATGGACCCTGTAACCTTTCTGCTGGACAGGTAAACCACTTTAACAAAATAAGCCAAGTGTCTTTAACAGAAGTGTTTCTTGTCAAACGGGACCTGCTGTGTGTTGTAGCGCCGCTAAACTGTTGACCTCGGGTCCTGGACTATGTCACTTTATCCTAGTTGTAGAAGTCCTGCAAACATTGTGTTTGCTGGTAGTCTGTTGGCATCTACAGTAGCTCCAATGCTTTTTACTTTCACATTGACTGGGCCACATTTGTAATTATCTGAAGTATTTATCTACATTATATCTGAATTTAATTGAAACAAGCAGGAGCGTCTGTTTGTGGGCGGGGCTTTCTGGAGCAGAGAGGGAGGGGAGAGGAGGAGCTGAGGGGAAAACTGATGGAGAGGGGTAGAGTTTATATTCAAGATTTCTCCCAAAAACTGGCACTTCCCCAGATCCTGCCTACCCCACCTTTTAGTATGATTCTGTTTTGTGTACAAAAAAGCTTTGGGCAGGTTTAATCTACAAAACAGACCCCAGCTGAGCAGAGAGAGAGCCACAGTGACTGCTGCAAAGAAAGAGAGAGAGAGAGAGAGATCCCACAAGAAGAAATATAACTGATACAGAGCTTATAAAGTCCTTAACTTTCCATGTGTCTGTATATTATGGCTGGTGTTCCATGTCTATTCTTCAGAGTTTTAGCCTGTGAGATGGCGCTGCTCACACTAGCAGTCTGAACAGCCTGGGGCATGTTTCCTCCGTGAAGCAACCGGGTACAATTGGCTGAAAAGCCTGCAGACGGTCAGGAAACAACTGCCGATGGATGGACAGCTCACTGTGCTGTAAACATTTTTTTCTCTGAGTTTATATTTCAGTTTTTATTGCCTTCACTGAGAGGGATAGTTGGGTGACGTGTGAAGGAGTCTCTGGCTGGAATCGAGACCACAAAGACAGCAGGGTCAACGTTTTTATCTCAGGTGTGAATTTGGACTTTTTAACATGGGGCTATATGGGGAGTGACCTTCTTTTGGAGACAGCCCCTAGTGGACACTTGAGGAACTACAGGTTTTTAGTACCTCCACATTGGTTTTCTCTCTCATTGCTGCTGTCATAAACTCAGGAATTATGTATCCTTCGCTTGAAAAAAAAAAAAGCATGAAACACTCAGACTGGAGTGTGACTGCTGTCCCTTTAGGTGTAAACGCTCCCAGACTGTCGTCCACTTCCCTCCCAAAATATTTTGTAGCCGGTGGAAACATGGGATAATATTTGGAGGGGAATGGAAAAGACAACGCAGATCATGGGCAACATTCATCCCCCTCGCCGTGTTTGGGTTGCTGCTGCCCGACTAAACCACGTTTGGAATTTCTGATTGCAACGTCAACACACGTATGTGTTTTTTTTTCTGCTGCATCCAGAGCAGGAAACTCACAGCGGCTGATCCCAGAGAGGAGTGAGACTATCTCACACTGCACACTGTTGTTCATGCAGTAATGAAGCTTTCTTGACACCAGTGTTTTCAAGGCTGCAGAGCTGACCAGAGGTCATGTTATTAGAATTTAACATTGATTTAAATCCATGTGCACAGTGTGATAAACAGAAAACTGAGGAGAATAATTCAGAAAAAAAAAAACCTCTCAGTAAATGTATTCATGGTATCTGGGCTCTATGGCTATCTGACCTTGGGAATGAAAAGGCTGAGAGGGTTATATAGTAGTAACATGTATTATGTTGCAGATTATAGAGTGAGAATCAGTCAGGGAAAGTATAGGATCAACACTGAAACACGTACTTTAACCATGACAACCCTTGCCCCCTGAAAATATCACACTTTGGCTAGAAAAGTTGGCATTTTTATATTTATCTATTTAACACATTTAAAAAATAAATGTAATTGAACCAAAGTGCTGTCCAAGCCTCAAAGAGAAATAGGTTTAAAATCTGCTAAAACAATAAATTAATCAATGAAAACACGATAAAAAAGGCAAATTATCACCTGAAAAATGGTGTTAAAAGCCAGAGATGGATTTAAGTGGATTTTAATGTGGGTCTGAGCTTCTGATTTGGTTTTTATATATGAATGAGGACTGAATATATGAATTTTTTACATAAATGCTATAAATCACCCAAAGAGTTGAAGTGTAGGTGACTTGACTTTGTAGCATGATGGTCTGGAGGAAGGTGCAGCAGCTTCACTCTTCACCTGCACAACACTGTAGATGGCATAGTGAGAATGTAACCTGATGATATGATGCATATGTATGATGCTTCTTGGGTGCCAAACCAAGAAAGAAAAGCGATGAGCAGATCAGCACATACAGATCTGTTATCCATACATAAATGGTCTAACCGTTTATCCAGAGGAGACGAGGGTTACCCACTGAAGCCACGGCTTTTGACTCCGCCTACCCACCACACATCGGAGTTACGCTGCTGAAATGAAGCCCACACAGGGACTCTGAATGTTACAGAGCGCACCAAAAGGAGGTTAGTGTCACACTACCGCTCACATACATACAGTATACTGTATATTTACTGAATCATATAACAACTTCAATCTCACCGGTCCACGGTAGGCACAAATCCACTCCTCTCTCTATGATGTTCATCTGCTACTCACAGTTGTGGTTGTGCACCAATATCAGTTCAATATCGATTGGCATTTGTAAACAAACTGACGTGTTTGGATTGTTTTCCATTCGATTTCTCCCTTTGAATAAGAAGCAGAAAAAAAATGACATTTTGAACATTTTTAGAAGAAAAAAAACAACTCTGCTTGAGAAAACATTTAAATCATCTCAAGGGGCTTTTTTTGTGAAATTTCCTGCGCTGACTTCGTACTAAACTTCATTTCGTATTGATGAGATTTATTTCCTTGTCATGTAAAATTCAAGAATGAGGCACAGGCACATACTTTGTGATTGTTTATAAAACCAACTTCAACCGTTAACTGAACCTTAAACTTTATGATTTTGACATGAAGTGTAAAAGAATGTAAATGACTGCATTTTGTCGTTTTGACTTTATACGTTAGACTGAAGCTCTTTATATGTACACTCTCCAAAAACCTTTACGTACACCTCCAAAAAATTTTGTGCCAGCCTGTCTCCAAATTTCTCTAACCTTTTTTTACTCCTCCTCTGTGTGAAGTTTTACCTGAGACAAGAGGGGAGTGGTGGAGCCATTCTTTAGTTTACCTGAGTGGCGCTGTGGAGAGCGCCAAAGCACATTTACGGTGCCCACTAATTACTTTAGGTGTTGCGCACAAGAAGCCTTTTGTTTTTTGACCGCAGGCTGGCTGGCGGCTGGAATTTGTCTTTGATTTATTGGTTTATGGTGCTTGAGTTTGTTTAAGAGTAAATGGATTGATATATCCAAATTAAGCTTTTTTTGCCTACAGAACTTTTATTGTTTGAGAAAGTAACAAATGGACACTCAGTGGACAAACAAGACTAGCCGAGGCTGTGAGGGCATAACAGGTGCGTCACCAGGGAGTCACACGTGATCTTTCAATGACGCCCACAGTGTTTGTAAAATATCCAAGATGGCGAGTGAAGCAGATTCAGTTTTCATGTATATCAGTGAAACAAGTCATTAAACTCATTCGCAGAATCAAAAGATGAGTAAGAGAATAAGCAGAAAAAAGCATGAAGTACCTTTGACAAGCATGACGATCTCACTTTGTGGCCTGATATTAGAGTCTTCACCACCCACTCATTCATGTTTAATTATTATGACTTTTACCCGCCTTGTTCTCATGTTGATTCATTCTTGTGAAATTTTACCTGAGGGGGTTTGGGGGGGGTTGGCATGAAAAAATTCCAAGTAAATTTCTGAGGAAAGGCTGTCATTCGTGTTCACGCATGCCGCTCACAATGAAATTTTCAAGAAAATATTGTATGCAAATCGTACTTCATGTGGTGATTCATCATTACCAGAGAAGAAAACTTAAAACAGTTTTGTTTCTTTCATTTAGAAACCAATTAGTCTATTCAGTGTTTGTGAAACAATGAACACTAAATATGTGATTTGTCTCTCTTTGAGTGCTCAGATCAATAACAGAGTATTACATGACTTAGTATTTCCCCTCTTTTAAGTAAAACATGAGGCGTGTACACCCAGCGGATAAACCTGCTCTTAGCAGTGATCATTTAATCAACAAAACCGGTGACTATGACTATTCATCAACGTCAAGATCGTGATGAGCTTAAAATCATCACTGATAATAAACTCTATAACAAATAAATGTAATTTCTAATTAAATTAGACGAGATAGACAAGCAGAAAGGTCACCGTAGAGTCAATCCTCTCTGCCTTCTTCTTATTTTCACGGGTCGAATGAGGACATTTCAGAGTTTAGATCACCTTTAAATCACTGAGGCTGGGGCATTTCGTGGTCGTCAGGGTAGGGCAGTCCCATCTTCAGATTTTCCCTTCATGATCATCCTGACCTTAAAATATCAGGACAGCAATAATATTATGATATTTAATGAAAATTCAGTCCAGTTGAGGTAACAAAGTCAAGGGTGCCTCATAAAGTTACTTTTTGTCATACTTTTATTTTGATATTTCGTCCATCTCATGTTCAAGTTGCATTTTTTCCTGCATTGTTAAACCAGGCTTTTATTTTGAAGTACGGGCTAGACCCGATTATAGCTGAATGAAAACCGATTAAAAACAGTTATTAAGTAGAAATGTTCGTTTGATCGCTAACCTGAAGAGACTCTAATGTTTCAGGGGTTCACAGTAAATCTTTGAATGTTTTTATTAACATTATCATAACCATACTTATTAACTCGCTTTGTTACCGTCTGTTTATTTGGAGCTAAATATCGATATTTTCTTTTCTTCTAAAGATGGATGGTAGATCGGCCAAGATAGCGCAGCAGCATTGCATTGTGGGAGAATCAAGGCAAAAATCATCCAACAAAGGTAAGGAATCCAGATTTTACACAAGTTTAAGTTTGAAGAGAGTGAAAATGTTACAGATTTCAACACCAGATAAAATCCTGACGCCAGTTTCTGATCATCCAACTACATTTTGTTTCTTTTTTTTTTATTGACTAAAACGAGACTAACAGGGAAACACCAAAATTTAACAAAAACTAAAATGCATTTTGTCTTAAGGACTGTAACTTCACACCGAGTCCATGTTTTTTTTTGGACATGTAATCTGATTTTTAAAAAGTCACTGCGCAGAAACCCCGCAGACGGAAATTCGCAGCACAAAATGAGTCTTTAAGCGGCGAGGGTGATTTTATCGCTCTTTGACTCATTGAGAGAAGAAAAAGAAAACATCCTCTTCTGAGAGAGAGAGAGAGGGAGATTACAGAGAGTTTCACCTGCTGAGAAAAAAAAAAAAAGCTGCACAATCATCCCGATGGCTTCCAGGTAGATTTCAGGATGTCAACAGTCCAGATTGAGACGCTTCGGGGGTACGCACTCGAAATGTTCCCTCTGAAAATTGTGCATATTCATCTGGATCTGATATTCAGTTAATGTTAGTATTCAGAAACCACTTACAGCACGTGGAGGGAAAACGCAGAAAATTTAACCTGTTACAAAAAAGAAAGAAAAAAAAAGAAAATCACAGACGAAAGTTTAGGAGTCAGCGTTCAAATGTGTTGACACAACATGAGATTATACTTCTTTTTCAGCGTGCAACAACTTCAGACTCCTCGTACAAAGACCTTAAATCTGAAATAGCTGCAAGAATTAACACTGGCTCTCTCTGCAGCGACGTGCGAGCACAAATTTACACCGCTTTTTTTTTTTTTCTTCTTTTTTTTCTATCATACAATTCTCAACAAGCTCTACAAGGCCATTTGCAGCTTTTATTATCAATGTTTCTTTTTTTTCCTTCTGTCCTTCTGTTTGAGAGCATTTCCCTTCCTCTGTATGTGCCGCTCACCTTCAGCTGAGATTTATCCGTAATAACATGCAGATATCTTATGGATTTGATATTAGAAAACAATCAAAGTGTGAATTTTGCGTATCAGAAGCACGATACACGATGAGCAATATTGGTGTCATGCAAGAGGGAGGAAAATATTTCATAGAGTGACTTGAAAATAAGATATTTAGGGATGTAAGGAAGCTTTATGATCGTAAAATTATATGTAGTGTTGCTCTAAAAGAGGAGAAAAGAGACTTGAGAGTGATTCATGCATCACTCTCAGGCATGAAGAGAAGAAACTTGATCGAGCAGAAGAAGAGCGAGGTGCAAAAAATGTGATGTAGAGAAGTTTGGAGGAAACAAAAAGAGAGAGAGCGAGTGAGAGAGAGAGTCAGAGAGAGAGAGAGAGAGGACTGTACAAGCACAGGAGGGGAGGGGAGAGGAAGAGAGAGAGTTAGAGAGAGAGAGAGAGAGAGAGAGGAAGGGGAGAAAGAGAAGAAGAGAGAAACGCAGAGAGACAGACAGACAGATGGAAGAGAAAGCATGCAGCGGAGAGGAGGAGAAACAAAGCGTGTTGACTGAGGAAGTGTGCATGCCATGCGGGCCATGTGCTCGTCTACGTCCCAGCTCGCCGACTCTCGCCGCTCTGAGACTCACTGCAGCTTCTCCTGCTCAAGTCTCCCACTTTTCACTCTAAGGTAGGACCGTCTTTACTTGTTCCTGTGTGTTTCAAAGAGTTTGTTTCGCCTCTTTTCTCGCCTTTTTCCACCTTTTTTTTTTTTTTCACCCCATGCTGTGCTGCTTTTTTTTTTTGTTGGGTTTGATGATGCCAGAGTGAGAAAAAGTTTGAGCTTTGTTTTAAATGCTGCATGATTTGATTTTGCAAAAGCACAAAATGTTGAATTTCACATGTTGAATTCATGCAAAAAAAAAAAAAAAAACTGTGGTGCAATTTAGTCAATGTTGGCAGGTCTGGCTGTTTGTTGCCATGTGTGTGTTGGTGTGTGTGTGTGTGTGTGTGAGTGAGTGTTTGTGTGGTGGTCTGGTATACTGGTAGAATATTGGCAGGACTGAGGAATGTGTGAGATCTCTTTGTTCCCTCTCTCTCTTTCCCTCTCTCTCTCTCATTTTCTTCTTTTTTCTCTCTGGGGTTGCACACACACACACCACACACACACACACACACACACACACACACACACTCTCTTACACACACATACACACACATGCAGTCAAACCAACTCTTGCAGAAAACCAGTTGAAACTTCCCACCGGCAGGAGAGAAATGTCTGGAATGTGATTATCACGTATTTGTGTTTATTTTATCACTGCGGGTCGCTCGCAAAGCAAAGAGGAAACCAGATCAGGCGCGTGCACGTCACTTAGCGTGCAATAATGTGTGTGTATGTGTGTGTTCATGTGTGTGCGTGGTGCTGGTGGGTGGGTGGGTGGGTTGGGAGGGGACAGGGTAGGAGGGTAAAGAGTGAGAGCTATTTGGCAGTGCACGTGAGTGTGTGGGTGGTTGTGTGGGTGTCAGGGTGAGTGGGTGCAGAGCTCTTTGAGTGAGAGCACATGTGACTCTGAGTGTGTGTGGGTGTTGAATGTGTGTCTGTGTGCGTGCACAGAAAGGTGAAAAGTATGTGTGTGCAAAGGTAAGGTGATTGTGTGTTTCCGAGTCTACCTTTGCATCAAACGGAGGCAGAGGAAAGACAAAAAAAAAACTACTCCTCTTTCCAAAACCTTTTGCTGTCCCTCTTTCTTTCTTTCTCTTACATGCACACACACACACATGTACACACACATGCACACACGCAAGGTTCAGGCGCCTGTCAAACCCAGTGCATTCCTGAGAGCTCGAACACACGGAGTCTGAATGGTGGGATGAATGCGGGGAAATTCAGCTGAAACGTGAGGACAAAAGCCAGGGGGACATTTAAGAGGGTTTAACTCGGCAGAACCCTGGGAATCAGGGAGGAAACACACACACACTAAAACACACACGGAAACACACATGCACGCTTGCATTAGCGCATGCCTGCACGTGCACTGAAATGAACTGTGTATACATCTCGACACACACACACATATGTACAGCTGCGGCTCCAACAGGCTGTTAGAGCCGGGAACGGAGGGGAATTCCCAGGGAGGAGACAGTGAAAACACACACTGCACCTCTGAATGTACACACACACACACACATACACATGCACACACACACACACACAAAGGCCCAAGAAGCCAACACACTGCGCTGCAGGTATCTCTGCAGTCCATTAGTAAACCATCGAGTTTCACGGCGAGCTGAAGAATAAAATCCTCAGAAATGTGCAAAAAAAAAGTCATGAATTCTCTGAGACGTTTAAAGCTTTACATGTCAACTTAAAAGCTTTTTAAATCACAAATACACACATTTTTAAAACAACCTAAAACACTCTTTTATCCACGTTAAAAAGATTGCACAAATCCCCTTTAATGTGGAGCTTTACGATGTTTTCAGTCATCATATCAAAAATCTTCCTTGCTGGTCTTTCAATAATGCACCACGTCAGGTTTTTATTCATTTAATATACCATTCCTTAGAGTGATGTCTCCTTTTTCTGTGTGCGGTTATGATTCAGCCGAGGTTTTAAAAGAAAAAAAAGCGGCAGGTGTTAAAAAGGTGTTCTGATAATGCCAAATTTTGACATTTCTCCAAATCTTAAAAGCCTGAACCCGCCTGAGAGGAGCTCTTACGCCGCCGCACTGAAACTGACTGGTTTCCAAAATGAATTTGCACTTTAAGAACCAAATTGATGCAGATTACCTGAGAGAGATTTTCTACTTTTCCCTGTTGAAGAGAAATTCAGTCCCTGTCCAGCTTTAATAAACCACCTGGAATTCCCTGAAGGACCTTTAAAGACTCCAGGAACTGCTTTGGGAACCTTTTTAAGTGCACACAGCAAAGAGGGGGGGGAAGTGCATCTCATTGTGTGCAGGATTTTTCTTTTACAGTTGAAAAGCGTCATTTTTGTTGCTCTAATTTCGTAGATTTGATTGCTATAATCTTCTCGATTTTCTGAAAATAAAGGGACTTACTTGTGAATTACTTATTTAAAAAAACACCTTTTGGATTTTGTTTTTCTCATCTGCATCTTTGCAGAAACAAAGGAAGTCTGATTTTTTTCAATGACATGAAGGTGTAACAGCTGTTTCGCAAATGCACCTGGACAGCTTGCGAAAGACCGCCTAGAAATTTCTTAAGGACCCTAAAAGGTTCCAGGAACCTGCTTGGAGATCCTTTTTTTAATTGCACCGCCTGCAAGACAGAAACTGCGAAGAAAAAAATCCATTTAGAGCCGAGAAGAAGGAGTTTTCTTTCTCAAAATTTACAGCTGAAGTTTGTGAAATTGTTTTCATTTTTGAGAGAGAATAAAAATTAAGTCGCCTCATAGATCACTCTCTGGATTGGACAGTTTTAAGATCGATACATCATTTGTGGTTCACCAGGAAAGAAAGCAAGATCTTTTTGTCAGTAATTAGAAACCGAATGATGGAATTCTGCACCTGCTCAGTTTGATAAAGTCTCCATGGATATTTCTGAAGGACTCTAAAAGGTTCCAGGAACCTGACTCGAGATCGGTCGTGATTGCACGACACCAGAAACCGAAAATGTGCATCGAATTGTGTGAAGATTTTGCAGCAAAGTTGCATCTTTAATTAAAGAAATCATCGACATTTATGGAAAAATGACAAAAGAATCAAACTGTTTGATTTTTGCTGTTTTGTCACTGACGATAATTCCTATTTGCGACTAGAAAGACAAGGAAATCTTTCTGTTTTCAATAAAAGCCACTTCAGTTGGTTCACCAATAATGAAATTCAGCACCTGCTCAACCCTCAAGGACCCTAAAAGGTTCCTGGAACCTTTCTTTGGATGCCTTTTCATTGCACAGCATGAAAAACCGAGATTGAGCATCAGATTGTGTGAGGAGGTGAAGTCAGAAGCGTTAATGAAGGGTTAGAAAATATGAGATTGGTTGAGTAAATGTTGCACCGTCAGTTTTCTAAATCGTCCAGACCTAGAGGAGAATTTAAAAGGATTCGATTTTGCTGTTTTTAAAGGATTTGTTATTAAATCTGCGTCTTTATCTCTGACTTTAAAGTGAAAGTTTGTGTCTCAGGTTTAGATTCCATCAGGTGTTTGTCTGAAAATCTGGATGTAAGTGGACATTAGAGGTCAACCTTCCTCTCTGCCTCCTGCATGCTCTAAGTGGGGGGTCAGGGGATATTTGTTCTGACCTGAAATCAACTTCAGAACGATAGAGCCGCAGAATCAGATGCCCCTCTGCTGAGAAACAAGAAGGGAAACACCTGGGATTATCCCCAATCTGTGCAGCTTTTGCATGTTTCAGATTGAGCTGATCTGCTGTCTGTGTGTGTCTGTGTGTGTGTGTGTGTGTGTGTGTGATGGAAAAAGTGATGAGTAATACTCGGGGATCTTGACGCTCAGTTCATGTTCAGTTTGGCGCATAATTGATTCAGCTTGATCTGGTTTATGGAGCTGAAAATGAGACAAAAAGCATGTGAGCGATTTCCTGATTTTACGCTCCAGTCACGAGAGTCGATGATGATGATTGGAGAGTCGAATTAAAGGTCAGGTTGTGATTTTCAAGATGGTTCAGGTGAATTTGATGCAGTGAAAAGGTCACGAATCATGTGAGGTAATTAAGGGTGGAGAAAAAATGTGATAAAACGCAGCTTTCATGAGGAGAACCTGACGTTATTTCGCCGATAACCTGCGTCTGAAAGGGTTAAATGAATCTGGTCATGAGATTTACAGAAAGACATTTGATTGAAGATATTTCTGGGAAGTTTAGGTTGAAGAAAAAGTACCCATCCCAAATACCAGAAAGTGAGGTCATAAGTGAGGCGATAAGAGAAAGAGTGGGCACAGTAATTTATTCAGGGAATTTCACAATATGAAGCAGCGAGCGAGCGGCTGATATTGTCAGCGAGCTGCAGAGAGCTCATAAAGCTGCTCAGACCTGTGCCGCCGCCGCCGCCGCCCAGCCCGAGAATCAAACAAGAAGAAGCCGAGAAAACAGAAGTTAATTTCCCAGACTGCTGCAGAGAGTCACTCTGAGAAAAACTGAGAGTGATGAGGTCTGCACGAGGAAGAGGAGGAGGAGGAGCAGGTGAGCAAGAACAAGAACCTCGAATTTATACTAATGTAGATGCATGAGTTTGAGTTTCAGCAGGTACAATCCCTCTGCAGGTGTATTTCCCCACAGGGAGATGAGATAGAGAGGCATCAGTCCAGATATGATGAGAGAGCGTTTCACATTCACTGTTCACTCACAACCGACTCAAAATACAAGAATAAAGAGAGAGTCTGAAGAATTTAAGTTTCCACGCTGCTTCAGTTTGATGTTTTCTTCATCAGATTGGTAAAAATAGCTTTTCTTACATTCATGTTTTTGTTAAAAAATAAAGCAATAAGGGAGAAAAGGATGTTTCTTTTTAAACGGTTTCATAAAAATGCACAATTCTGGCATTTCTGCAGCTTTTAAAAGCCTCAAATCATCTGCGAGAAGCTTTTTAAACCAGAGAGAGGTTCAGAAACGAGCATTTAAAACACCAAATGGATTCAGGTGATTTCAGATCTGCATGAGAAGGAAGGAAGGAAGGAAATCTCTCTGTTCACTCACCTGTTGAGCCTCAAGTGAATTTCAGCTTGAGAAGGACCTGCTTACAGAAATGTGTTTGTATCCTGTGAAAAAAATGAATAAAGAAATGATTATTAATAACCATGAAGAGTGAAAGTTGTTCTGTATATGAAGCTGCTTCAGTTATTAAAATCAGAGGATTAGAAGGTGGAATAACGGAGAGGAAAAATGAACATTCGCCTGCCATAAAATGATGTTTCTGAGGGGTGAATTATTCCCTTTAGCCTCTTCAAATGTGACAGAAAAGAATAAAGTCTTTAATTATCAAGAGCAAAAATTAGAGGTATAAATGTAAAAGAAAAATGCTGTAGTTATCCAGCAAATCCTGCAGCTCTAAATCTTAAAATCATCAAATTTTGATCAAACACAGAAGATTTGTTTCAGTCTAAAACTCTCAGTTTTTGCTTTTTCTGCAGGATTTTTTAACTCTTATCTAAAAGTTTTGTCTCTTTAATTTGCATGAATGAAATGTGCATAATTGGAGTGGACTCTGCTTCACTGAATTAACGTGTTTCTGCTGTAAAAGCACAAATTTAGACAGGAGTTTCGTTTTTTTTCTCCATAATAATTAAATTCGGGACTTTCTCTTTAAGTCGTGCTCTCTGCTTCATCATTTCCCTCTTTTATTCCCCTCTGTCATTCTTCACCTCTCTCGGAGTTGTCACAGTCTTTACTGCACTCAGACTCTCCGCGGGCGCACCGGGCGCACCGGGGACGGTCCCCGCAGCGTGGGGGGGCGACACGAGGAAGTAGAGAGGGAGGGGAGGGGGGGTTCTTTCTTGCGGGTAGACTGAGGCTGACTCTGGGGACGGAGCTGCGGCCGACTGCCGCAGGTTTTGGGGGAACCAGCTTCTCACTCTGAGGTCGCCGGGGCATTTCCGAGCGATCCGGGGTAAAACCCGGCTGACACACAGAGACAAAACAGAGAGAGAGAGAGAAAGAGAGAGAGAGTGAAAGAGAGAGAGAGAGCGAGAGAGATCAGGGCACAAACAGCCTCAGAAACATCGATCCTCCTCCTCCTCTCTTCTGCAGATATCTGCGGCTGTCTGAGCTCGTTTCACGGACACTTTTACGCGCAGCTCTCGGTGATGTTTGATTTGGTCTTTTGTGTTTCTGTGCGCAGAGGACAAAACCAGGAGAGCTGACTGAGCCTGCACACGGGGGAAGGTGTCTGGAAAAAGGGAGCTGATTTTCTCCTGCAACTTCTAAATCCAATGGCAGCGACACCGAAGAACACAGGTAACACATTTATATTCTTATCCGTGATTTTAACACAGATTTGAACATTTTTAAGAGACACTTTTACGCCTTAAAATCATCCAAAATTTCTGCTCCAAATCAGAGAACTGTTGATGCATGTTTCTATATCATATTCCTAAATTTGACTTTATCACTGTCGGTGTGTTTGAGTTGTGTTGGCGTTGTTTGTGCGTTCCTGCAGCAGTGTGTGTGTGTGTGTGTGTGTGTGTGTGGTGAGACTGTTGAACATGGCATTGCAACAGTGTGTGGTCTCCTCCAGCTCTGGCAAGACTATTGTGCACTCTTCACGTGCGCATTTGTTCGTGCGCGTGCTTGCTTGTTGGTGTGTGTGAGAGAGAGAAAAGAGAGAGAGAGAGAGAGAAAAGAGAGGGAGGGAGGGGGGGAGAGGAGGAATGTGAGTCGGGCTGGAGGAAATTCTTGTGTTTTGGAATGCGTTTACCCCGGGGGGAGACCCCGTGACTCCGGGAGAGAGAGAGAGAGAGAGAGAGAGAGAGAGAGAGAGAGAGAGAGAGAGAGAGAGAGAGAGACAGGGGTGTGATTGCATGGCTTTCTAAGAAATAATTGAATCATTGGTGTTATGCTGTTTCATGCAAGTCTCATGCAAATGCAGTGACAGTGAATATTTCATGATGAACATTTTTGCATATTTTTATGATCATTTCTCTCTCTCTGAGGAAGAGGACTATAATTAAAACCATGCACGCTCACTTTCACACACACACACACACACACACACACACAGCGGCTCTGCATCCAACAGGGGGAGCTTGTGACACATGGAGCTGGAAAATCAGTTATTAATGTGACACTAATATCAGCCTTCAATTTCACATGCGTTAACAAAGAGACAGTCATTTCTTTTAGCAAAACACTCCGTGAAAAGTGGATGAAAGGGCAGCTCAGACTTGCTTCCCCCTCGGTTCTTGGCAGATTCTGCGTCTTTTAAAATGGGACATAGATTTTAAAAAATGTCAAAAAGTGCGTCTTAAAAATATGAAACAAATGCACATTTCAGAGGCAGACATAGTCTATGATAAGAGCTGGATTTAGCAGCTTTCTTTCTGCAGAACATGCTGGACGTCTCCTACCTTGCATTAAAGAATACATGCACGGTAGTATTTTGGGAAATTCATCTAAAATATGTTAAAATTTATCTATTTTAAATCTCTTTTAGGCGAAGATGTTTTGCACATTTCAGAGGCAGACATAGTCTATGATAAGAGCTGGATTTAGCAGAATGGTGATTTCTTTCTGCAGAATATGCTGGACGTCTCTTACCTTGCGTTAAAGAATACATGCACATGTTAGTATTTGGAGAAATTCATGTAAAAAATGTTAAAATATATCTATTTTTAATCTCTTTTAGGTGTTAAAGGTGTTTTGCACATTTCCAAAATATCACTCAAGCAATATTACCGCAAGGCGTCGACAAAAAGAGCATTTTAAGTTCATATTATTAACAAACAAACAAGATTAAATCAAGTTTCTGCCAACTTCCTCCAACAGGCAGAAACCCCGAGCAGAACCAGACTGAAATCTCCCCCCCAAACTCGTACGAACTCGCTGGATTCGGATCATTTAGCACGTAAAGAAGGAGACATTTCTAAAAGCATTAGAGGAAACTTCTCCCTGAAGTCTAAATGATGAATTTTTGGAGATGCTGTGATGCTCAGCAGGAACTCGCCGCCTCGCTCTGATGTGTCGCACAGTCAGAACAGAAAGCATCCATCACTCTGAATGTGCTCTGCTAAAATCAAGTGTTATATTGTGAAGTATTCAGACAGTCACATGGCTGTAAACACATGCACACACACACACACACACACACACACACACACACACACACACACACACACACACACGCGCGACTGTTGCAGATGATGTATTCGTTTTAAAAAGCCGACAGTGTTTATCATTCCCTGCTCTTAAAACTTGCACAGAAGTTGTTTTTTTTTTGGATGTAAGCGTTCACCGGACAGACTGGGGTTAGAGTCCCGGTTGGTATTGGACAGAGAAGAGTGTTTCTGGAACAGCGCTGCAGACTAAAAGCTCGCCCACACACAAATGTGAGATATTCTAATGAGCAATCTGGACCATCTGAATATTATATTCCTCTTCGCAGTACAGACGTGTTACTTTGTGCAACTCTTATCATTTCTGGTTTATAAAAAAAAAAAAAAAAGTCTGTGTTTTAGTTTGAGAAAGGTGTGAGTGATGAGGAGACGATATGAGTGACGTGATCCTCTGCCACCTGTCTTTCACAGCCTCTTCATCATCATCGGTTGAAAAGGAAGCAACAACCAGAGAGCTCCTGTCCTGTCCTGCTGGTAAGAATATCACACATTATCTCTGATTTTAAGTGTTGCTGAAAAAGTGTGAATTCATGTATCGAGTGGAAAAGTTAACCCTGGCAGCAGAAACTCGGCTCTTTTCTTCCACTCAGAGGGTTTTTCGTTAATTTGAGAGATTAGTTGGTGAGAGTTTGTGCAGGGGGAGAGAATTTGACAAACTTTTCCTCCGTTCCTCGGTGTCACTACAGCAGATCAAACCCTCCCTGTAGCTGTGATTTAAAAATAACCGAGCTCAGTACAGTAGCCATGTGCACATGAAACATTTGACTTAATGTAAACCCAAAAAATAACAATCAGGCTGCGTGATTCACACACACATCGAGCGTGTTCAGCCCACACACTCCCACGTGTTTCCCCTTCCTCTGCTGCCTCAGATGTGAGGCACATGACATCATTAAAGAGGTGCTCTAAAATCAGTGTGGGTACTGCGTGTGCGTAGGCAGAGAGTGTGCGTGTGTGTGTGTGTGTTGTTTCTGTGTGGGTGCAGGAATGAAAGCCAAAGCTCCAGAGCCGTGGGCCCGGTGCTGGCTGCCTGTGTGTGCCCAGCCGGAGGCTCTGGTCCTGGGCTGCGCTGCCTCCCACGCTGGGGTTCGGTCGGGGCTCTGAGTGGGAGGAGGAGTGGGAGGAGGAGTGGGCCGGGGCTGTGAGTCAGCCTGCTGCAAAGCCCCCAGACGGGAGACCGCTGAGGGAAGAAACACACCACCACACAAGAGTCTCCTCTCCCTGCCGGCCTTCGCAGAAACGTTAAAGTTTCTAATGAGGAGGATCAGACGGGGGGGACGGAAACACTCTGCATCAGCTCATCTCTGAATGAGTTTTCTGCAGACACGTTTGTAAACACAAAATAGACTTAAGGAGTTTTTTACTTCTTAGTTTGTTTTGTTTTGAGATGATCCAGGTTTAGTTTCTATAAATGTCAGAGCTGTTGCTATAAGACAGTCATTTTGCGTTCGGCAGCTCTGTGATTCCTCATGATTACTCTTGCATGTTTGACATCCAAATGTGCAACTACAGCAAAAACTGCTTTCTCCATCTGTGCCTGTGTGCCCCTTAAATGAAGGAGCTGTACATCAGTTTACTCACGAAATGGCATAGATATATTCTACATTTGTGGATGCACATACATGAACTTTGGGGAATGACCGAAAGAACGAGATCGTGGATACAAGTGGCCGAAATGGGTTTCCTCCTTGGAGATAGGGTAAGGAGCTCAGACACTCGGGAGGCGCTCAGAGTAGAACCGTAGGAGTCAGCTGAGGTGGCTCGGGCATCTGGTTAGGACGCCTTCTGGACGCCTCCCGTTAGAGGTGTTCCAGACATGTCCCACCGGGTGGAGACCTCGTGGCCGGCCCAGGACCAGATGGAGGGATTATATCTCTCACCTGGCCTGGGAGCGCCTGGGAATCCCCCCGGAGGAGCTGGTGGAAGGGGTTGGGGTGAGGGCTGTTTGGGCTTCCCTCCTGAAGCTGCTGCCGGGAGCTGAGAATGACGTCACTAGTTACCTGAGTGACCAGTGTTTCAGTTACGGAGTCGGAAAAAAGCAAAAACTGAGGCAGAAACAAGATGGCTACATCTACGAAAGTTATTTCAGCGCTTGCCTCGGATATTCGGATAGGGCAATCGCTAAAATAACTTTCGTAGATGTAGGTATCTTGTTTCTCCGATGGATTTTCATTTTTTCCAACTCGGTAAATGAAACAATGGTAACTCGGGTGTGACGTCATTTTCAGCTCCGACATCTGACCTCCGAGGTAACTTGAATGCAGCGGACATCAGCTACCCTGCTGAAACTGGGTTTTTGGGGTCAACTAAAGTCTTATTTTAGTTTTCTTTCTTTTTCTTCTATAAGATGAGATTACTAAGCGTATACTCCACTTGCATCTGCCCCAAACCAATAGTGCTGTACCTGCTCGGTTCAGTGAATACACTCCCAGTGAGTCTGATCATGAGAGGAAGATTTCAACGTCTATAACGTTTTTAGAAAAGTTGAAGACAGATTTGTTTTTAAAGCTGTCATGACATTTCTGATTTGTGCTGCTGGGTTTAAAAATCAGATGTTAATTGATGAGGGTCGTTAAAATCCCATTTCAGCAAATTGTTAAACTCCATCCTGAGAGGTGGAGGTCAGGTGGAGGGCCGCGGTGACCCGGTGATCTCAGCAGCGTTTTGTCGCTCTGATAATGGAAGGTGGTTCTCCAGGAAACTCAGAGGGAGTCCACCAGTCTGGTACAAGGGGGGGTAGCTGGAGCCAGGCCGGGGCGTGGAGCAGAGCGGTGCAGCGGAGGATAGGGTGGGTGGGTGGGAAATGCATTGGCGTGTGGAAGCGAGGAGGAGGTGGAAGAGTGGGAGGAGGAGGAGGAGGGACGGGCGTTAAAAGAGGCAGGCGAGGAGCGTGAGGGAAGGACGGGGAAGTGAGAACAGGAAACGCTGGTCGGAGTGGAATGTTTCACAAGAAGGCTTCTCCGCCCTGCGAGCGTCAGGACGAGGGCGTCTGCTGCTCAGACAGCCACCAGCCATCCTCACACACACACACACACGTACACACACACACACACATTCTCCACAGTGTGACCCCTCACCGCTTTGGCAGGGTTAGCTTTTATATCCTGTGAGCAGAGGAGTCACTGCCTGGACTGAGCAGCTCTGTGTGACTGCAGGACAGAGAGAGAGAGAGAGAGAGAGAGAGAGAGAGAGAGAGAGAGAGAGAGAGAGAGAGAGGGGTGTACTGGAGCTGGTTTTCCTCTGACACCTCTGAAGGGAAGAGGAAGAGGAAAGGGGGAGGATGAAGAGGAAAGGAGGAGCAGAGAGGAGAGGGACTCACAGGGCAGGGATGATGGGGTGGAGTGCTGCACCGCTGGGGTCCTTTAAAGGAGTCACTGCGTGTTTACTGGAAATACAAAAGCAACATTTGTAGCATCACAGCCAGGTTATAAATTTTAATGTGCGTTTGCTCGTTAATATGGAAGATGCCGAAAAAAAGGCTGTTTTAGCAGTTCTGCTGGCGTGCATCTCCACCTGTAGTTCTAAACATTTCAAGTAGCTGTTCAAAAAGTACAGATTTTTATGTTAATGGTTAGATTTTCTGTTTTGATTTTTGGACGGGAATATCCCAATTGGTAACGGAAAAGTCTTTCCTTTGCATTTAATGGAAGGCCATGTTCAAATCAGAGCTGGAGTTTTAATTTTAGTTATGATTTTAGCTCCTCACAATCATAAAAAACTGCTTATCACGACTGTATGATATTGTGCAGCCCACTTTGTCTTGCTCGTTTTGCCTTTTATAGTGAATCAGGTGCTTTTTGTCCTTAAAGGGATATTCCAGCGCAAAGTTAATTTAGGGTCAAACACACTGTAACACCGAGTTACACAACCCCTCGAGAGATGAATGTTGTTGACCGCTTGCTTCTCTAGTTATACCAACTTTAGTCATGACCGCACGATAGCAATACACAGTGGTCTGAGTAGCCACACACAAACCTCAACCAAACGCCACTCTATAACCAAAAATAATGCTCAGAACAGCACCTAACTTCATCAACAGTACATATAGGGTCCCAGCCATAGTACTAGCCACCAAACAGCTTTTTAACTTTGCCTAATTTCTTTCATAAAGAGACTAAACACAACTCACCTACTCTATTCCAGCAGCCGCTTGTTTGTAGCAAGACCTCAGGTAAATCCATTACGGACTGTTGCGGGGGGAAGAACATTTATGATCATTTCTTCGTGGAAATGTAATCAGACCAAGACGCTGCAAAATGATTAATATGGTGATTATTGCGTCAAGGAAATGATAAAGAAATGATCATAAATGTTTTTCCTTGAGCTGTGTCACCCCGCTGTAGTCCGTAATGGACTGGCCCGAGGTCTTGCTACAAACAAGCGGCTGCTGGAAGAGAGTAGGTGAGTTGTGTTTAGTCTCTTCGCTAAAGAAATTAGGCAAAGTTAAAAAGATGTTTGGTGACTAGTGCTGTGGCTGGGACCCTATATGTAATGTTGATGAAGTTAGGTGCTGTTCTGAGTATTATATGCGGCTATAAAGTGGCGTTTTGGTTGAAGTTTGTTTATGGCTCCTCAGACCGCTGTGTATTGCTATCGTGCGGTCGTTACTAAAGTTGGTATAACTAGAGAAGCAAGGGATCGGCAACATTCATCTCTCTAACTGGGGCTGTCTAACTCTGTGTTACGGTGTGTTTGACCCTAAATTAATTTTACGCTGGAATATCCCTTTAAAAACAGAGTGTGTTCTCAGCCCTTCCCCTAAAACGGGTCTTACTTTCAGTCCATCGTCATGAGGTCAGATCGATGTGCATCAAAGTTTGAACTCTCAAGGGAGTTGCAGACTTAATAACAGACTGCTGTATCTTCAGTGAGTTGTGCTGCAGCTGCAAGTGGACAGAGGAGAGCAGGAGTTGCTCATGTGTGTATGTGTATGTCTGAAAAGTCAAAAACAGAAACAAAACAGAGAAATGGTTCTGAAGATATAAACATTCAAGTAAAGGCGAAGAATGTGGCGCATGTCCACAAATCAAATATGTGAAGTCTGAAATATAAAGATCATGGCGACATACACAAATAGAGGCTGTAATTTATGTAAGAAATGTTCTGAATTTATCTAAAATGGGAGGTATAACGTCACATATCTTGACCCCATAGTTTAACCATTGCATCACGTTTAAAGTATTTGTGTGTGATGTAATCAGAGACACTTGCATAAGTGATGGAAAATTCAAACAGCACCTAAACGCATCACTGCTCCAGCTGCTCTGGATGTCTCAGCAGGCTCAGAGGTGCCGAGGTATCCCTGAGAGTGTGTATGTGGATTTGTGTGTGTGTGTGTGTGTGTGGATTTGTGTGTGCATATTACCCTGTGATAACCCTTAGTCTCACACACACACACACACTCGTACTGACACGGTGGTTCACACGTTACTGCAGGGCATTGGAGAGAGATAAGACACAGAGTCATGCCTCCCCAGCGTGACAGTGACATCACAGTTGTATCTGTGTGTTCACTACCCCAGCACACACACACATACACACACACACACCTCCCCCTGTGTGCTAGAAAGAGACCAGCCTAATATAGTCAGCATGGATCACACACACACACTTAGACACACTTCCTCACAGGGCCAGAAGCAAAGGGGATAAGGTGGGGGGATCCGCCTGTCATATTTCCATCTCCTGTCCTTGGTTGGTTATAAGCATGTGTTCCTCCAGAGCCGAGTGTGTGTGTGTGTGTGTGTGTGTGTGCGTATGTGGGTGTGTGTGAATGGGATGACGTCGCTGTTACGTCTGTTGGTGTCCATCACTGGCTCAGAGTCCAGTCTTGGCAGAGACAGGTGCATCCATGGCTGCCTGTGTGTGTATGTGCGTGCGTACGGGTTGGTTTTTGTAGCCTATTTGGGACATGTCCAGTGTTGGACTTTGCTGGGACTAATTGTCCTCTAGGGGACCCACTCTGTCCTGGAAAGGCTTTCTCTGATGTTCTGGCCCTGCTTCCTGTTTAAAGATATTGTGTGTATAAGTCGGTGTGTTGCTGTATCAGATGGTTTTTGTTAACTTATCGTCTCAGAGCTCTGCTTGTGGGGATCTCGAACCTGTTTTTGGTGCATCACAGGGACCATTTCTAAAACAAAAACCCTTCGTATGGGGACCACTACTTTTTGTAGTGACACACTTGTTATAAATGCTGCAAAAAGTTGTTTCTGATGTTTTTGTTTCACCACCTAGTTTGTGTGTGTATGTGGAATCATTTTTGTTACGTCACAGGGACCTTTTCTCATATAAAAGCCTTATTTATGGGGACTACTTTGTCTTGTAATCACACATCTGTTACAAACACTGCTAAGTGTAAATCTCATTTTGTTTTGTGTGTGTGTTTATGTTTATTAGATTGTTCCTGCTGCCTTATGGGGACCTTGACAAATATCAAAACACTACTTGTGGGGACCACTATTTCTTTAGGACACAAGTTGGCTGCAATTGCCTCAGAATGTTAAATTTGACGTTCCCATGTTGCCTTATTTTCGTCGAGTGTGTGTGTGTGTGTGTGTGTGTGTGTGTGTGTGTGTGTGTGTGTGTGTGTGTGTGTTTCTTTTGGTTGTTTTTATGAACTTATAAGGACCACTTTTTTTTTTAGGGACAACTTGTTACAAAAGTCTTTGCTGATATCTCAATTTTGCTTCATTTTGTTAGCCCGCATGCTAACTTTGTGAGTTTAATGTATATGTTTGTGAGAGTGCTTTGCTTGCATCAGGGAGGCTTTGTTCAACATTAAAACTCCACTAATAGGAACCGCTGAAGTTAAATCTGGCAAGCAATATGTGATCAATGTCATGTTGTGTAGCAGCCATTGCTGTGTTAGGGACTCCCTGATGTTAGACAGCTACTGATGAAGATACCTTGTTGAAAAGATCTAAACACATTTTTAGAGTTATTCAATTAGATAGCTTTCAGAGAGATTGAGAAAAGAAAAGGCCTGACCTGCCCTATATTTTTGCCCAAATGCCAGGTAAATGCATTCTTAATCTACCTTGCTAGTCTCATGAACCTGTTAACAACTGTGTCTATCATCACAGACTAGTTGCACCAGCAAATATATTTTTTATGTTATTTTTTATTTAGCTTATACATTTTTAAATCATTCAGTTGCTACCACAACTGAGTAATTTTAACAAAGCTAAGCTTGTCAACAAACTCGCCAGCTGGTAAAATAACGCGATACAAGATTGTTTCATCAATTTTCTGGTGATCAAAAATAAATTGAAATCAACAGGTCACTTAGTAATTGGCTTTTTTTGTTGTGCAAAGTTAACAAGGTTCTTTTAATTGCTACCAACACTGTTGTCACAAATAAAACTGTACAAAAAGTAAACACTAATCACTCCTGAGCGCAAAGTACGTTCAAAACACTGAGATTTTGAAGTAGGTGCCACTGCAGCAAAGCTTGTAACATTGGTTTATAGTGGTGAATCTGTCACATATGCTTAAAAAAGTCATTTGTTCAGGTCCTGCTTTTTGGTATTTAAGTGTAGGATGTGTTTTGTCTCATAAAGACGCTTACATCCATGCAGAAACATTGTATATGTACAGAATTATGGTCCTTACGGGGACCTGCCCACTACAATCAGTAACAGTGAAATTTACACAAACACCCCCGCTGGCTGTCCTTTACATTCTTTCTCTTTCCTGTTTGAATTCTTCGACTTTATCTCTTCAGATTCTTCTCCTCTCTCTCTCTCTCTCTCTCTCTCTCTCTCTCTCTCTCTCTCTGTCACTAGCAGCTCTGGTCAGCCATTAAACTCCCTCTTAAGCCAAACCAGCAGAATTCCCAGGCTGCTCGGCTGCCCGGGTTCACACCTTTTTGTCCACAGGAATCTCAGGAATCCCCAGCTTCCTTTTCCACCGCAATCTCCATTGTGTGTGTGTGTGTGTGTGTGTAAAGCTATAAGAAGCAAAGGCCCCCGCCTGTGTTGTGTGTGTGTGTGTGTGTGTGTGTGTGTGTGTGTGTGTGTGTGTGTGTGTGTGTGTGTGTGTGTGTGTGTGAAAACACATCTCCGCCCTTGTACCCACCCAGTTTGTGTCCACAATAGTGTGAGTCACACTCAAAAACGACAAAAAACTCTCTGTTACTGTGAAACTTTACACTCTCAGACAAACTTGAGTGGACATTTAGGGTCACAGTGAAATTGAAGAACACAGATTTTGTAAATGAACTTTTGAGTCAGTAAATACAAACATATACATATATATATTTTACGTTGACACCATGTTTTTCTTATAACAGGCAAAAGTTTCGGGAGGTAACATTAGCTTGTTAGTACAGGCATTAAAAGCGTGGGATACATCTTAACAAAGAAATCCATTAGAGGGATTTGAGTGAATGAAATGGGATTAGTTTTATAAAAATACAATATAGAAATATTTTTAAAACTGTCAATGACAAACGGAGTAATGTGATCCTGAAAAATTGTGTTTGCGTGAAAAAAAAATGACACTTGTATTACAAAAATAAGCATAAAATGAGGCGTTTATAGAATATGAACATATCAATTAAAATGATGAAAGCTTAATTGTCACTTTTGATGGATTTTAACTTGCAGCAGAAAGTGTTAAGGTTCAATTAATGAGGAATACAAATACGTACAAACTCTGACATTTTTGTTATGACAATAAATATTTGAGAGTCAGTTTTTGAAAGTCATAGTTATGCTACATCCAGCTCACTAGCAGCTACTGCTTCTTCATCATCTTAACTATGTCTAATGATGTGGCAACCAGCATGAAGGAGAGAGAGACAATATCATAGTAGAGTGATATGATATGATATAGAACAAAACCCATGGTCTAAGATGATGATAACACCAATCACACAATGATACATCACAAAATCTGATGAGCCTGATAACAAAACATGTCCGAAAAAAATGAAGTTCACGTTTAATGCCGTTTGCGTCACCATGACAAGTCATAAAGTTAGATGAAGTGAGTCATTCCAACATCTACACAAAGATGTATTGTTTTTAAAGTGTCCATATTTGACTTCAGTGATACACAGACTATATATTTTTCTTTCCCTTATTTTCTGGTCTAAAATTTGTAAAGGCAATCCTGCAGCCCTGTTTTCTTAACATGAAATTACCCTCATTGTCAAGCAAAATATATGAATCTTAGTTCCAGTGAGTCATTGTTCCTGGCTAAGAGAGAGCAGCTGAGTAAAAAGAATAATCTGTCTGATTTTGGCAGGGAGGAGTCAAATGAACCAAAATAGCTCCAGACAAAAAATTATTTGTTTTCAGAGTTCTCACAGAGAAACCTCTAATGAGAGGTGATACTACGCCCATCCAGACAAGAGTCAGTGCTCTTACAGTGTGACGCCTGCAGGTTAACACTGCCGTTTGTCCGCACGTCTGGAGTCGTTTACCCTCGCCAGCCCTGACTCATCCCCCACCGGAGCCCAGCCTGCTGTCGGGGCTCAGCAGCACCCATTCAACACGATGAGAAACATTCAGAAAAACCAAACACCAACCGGACACACGACAGGCTGTGATTCACACACACCCACTCAATCTCCATCCACACATAAGCAGCCACAGAGGCGTACAGGTCCATGTCTGAAATGTTGTTGAAGAGGCCAGCCAGGAGGTGATCTAAGACAGAGGTTTAAACATAACATCAGGAGGAAAGGGATGGTTCTCAAAGTGAGAAACAAAAACAAAACAAATATCTGCTGCAAGTTTGGGACTTTCTCTTATCTTTCTCAGGGGAAACACAAGTCAGTTTTTTATTTACCCTTATAACAACTATCCAAACAATCTAATTGAAGTTGTTGTGAAAATTTGCTTAAAACTTTTATGACTTTTAGGCGTTTTATGACATGTAACCTTTAACAGACAGATCTCACAAAAAGCTCATATAAAACATAAATGGGGAGAAATACAACAGCTAAAAAGAAAGAGAATTAAAAGGAAAATACTCATTAAAAGTTGCATCATAGTAAAAAAAATTACCTCACTTTGAAAATTTGTCTGAAACTACGAGGGTGATGTATTACTCAAGTAAAACATTAGCAAAGAAAAGGGCGTTTTTCACTGTAAAGTAGGTCGTTGTATAAAAAATACTTTCTATTTCACAAGTAGAGAATACAAAGTAAAATGTATAACACTGAAATGAAAATGAAAGTAAGAGATTTTCAAAGGATTAATAGATATTTAAAAGCTTCGATGAAAAAGAAAAGAGGACTTCGATGAAAAAATTGAGCATAAGATAAAAGGTAAAGAAATGAACAAGCATGGAAAATTAAGATGTTAAAATTCAAGAAAAAGAAGTCTGAAAAGTCATGAAAAGAAATTTATAGTTGGCCGATATCAGTTTTAATGGTTGGTGCCAATAATGAAAGAGCAGATCAGCTGGTGTCTGATATATTCTATATCACATTGTTGTTGTTGTTGTTTTCCATTTCCAACAATTTAATAAGTCTAACAAATAGTAAACAAAATCATAGTTACATTACAGTATCTGTTATTGATGTGATATGATGTGATTTGAGAAAGAAAATTATCATTTTGAAAAGATTATTGTTCCATTGGTCTTGTAGTGTTGTTACTTCAAAATGTTATTAATCATACTAATTAATTAGCAGACTAATTGATCAGTCCATCTCTATTGTGTGTTTCAGTATCATCAGCATGTATCAGTATGTTGCAATCAGAAATAATTAGTGGGAGGTTGTCAATGAAAACTGAAAAAAAGAAGTGGTTTTAAGGTGGAGACATGAGGCACACCCCTCAGATAAGCTAATCAGATTTTTGACTTTTCACAACAACACTTTGCTTTCTGTTGTGTAAATAAGAATCAAATCATGGCAATGCATGCTGGGAAAAATGTATAGTGCAAAGTTTGTCCAAAAGTAGATATTGGGCCACCATCTGAAACATGAACAACCCTCTGCTTTGTCTCCAAAAGTATTAACCCAACTGTTTTGAGCAGCACAACAACTGCAGTGAGAGTCACTCCTTGTTTAGATATTGCTTCATATTCAGGCGCCTAAAACATCGTCAACCTCTGACCCACAGAGATTGTCTCGTAGGGTTAACAATATAGAATCAAAGGGAGTCTGCAGTATTTAGGTCGAATATTACTCAACCCTGTTCGTTACATGACTCACTGAAGTTATTTAAATAGTTATGAATGGAGCCTGACAAAGCCGCTCCTCCCCTTGTATGTGTGTGCATGTTTGCACACCACAATGTGTGTAACGGGAGCGTAGCATGGGTGCAGCCCGGCTTTTGATGAGTCACATGTGGATCCTCTGTGAGTAACTAACCAGCTATGTGAGTCCTGAAGTTTCAGACCCACACAGAAAACCCCTGGTCTCAGAGGGAGGGGGAGGGGCAGGGCAGGGTGGGGCGGCTCTGGACTGTTGATGGGTGTGGTCTGCAGGAGTGGTGAGGCAGAGAATAGATGTGGGGTAAAATAGCAGGATGTAGGTGAGGACCGGGATCTGTGAGTGGAAGGTGGAGGACGGGATGGTGAGGGCAGAGTAAGGTCAGGATTAGGGGAAAGAGGTCATCGCTCAGGGTCAAAAAATGGTAATGACTACATTTTACCTCACCCTGTTATCTCCCTCTAAATCTGTTTTTTAATTTGAGGAGTTTTGTGTCTGTACACTCAGGTACTTTCTTTGAATAACTCTGGTCACTGCAGAATAACATGTTTATCAGCTTCTGCATATCAGTCAGTTTTGGTAAATTTTGGTACTTTCTCTTTCTGTGGTCACACTCAGCTCTCTGACTCCAGAGGTGTCAAAAGTCCAAACTTTCTTTACCTATAAACAAAAACAAACTTTTACACAAAAACACAGTGGCAAAAAAGGTACTGTTTAACTTTTGGTTCAACAAAACTCACTGATAATGAATTTGTCAAAGTAACTTTGCAAGTCTGATATTGTTTCTAACACTTACCTAAACATAGAAGGACATATAAGTAATTTTAAAAGTATTATAGCCAAGCCTAACAAAACTACAGCTAGATATTGATTCGAGATTATCACCTGCATAAAAATGTTGAGGTTAGCATTAAGAATTGACAAATGTATAATTTTAAAGGTTTAGATGGTTTAAAAAAAAAGGAATTCATTCTTTTGTTTTTTCAAGAAACTTAAATTTGATACTGGGAGTTTGGGGTTAAAAGTTAAGAGAAAAACACCAGAATATCTACCAAAATAAAAATAAAAAAATTGCAAGTAGCCGCTTTTAAGTAAAGTGCAATACAAATACAATAATAAACAATACAAAAGACACATTACATGACAATATAAGATGACACAAAACAATTCATAAATATATAGTAAAATAAAATAAATCTCAAGAAAAAACATTGCCTTTAGATACAAATCAAAATAAAATAACACACCGTAATGAAAAAAGGTGATACAGAGTGATTCCAAATCAAAACAAAACATTTCAAAAGGATACTAAACAACACAAAATGATATAATATTATACAATTACAAAATTAACAGTACAATCAAAAGTAATATAAAATGATGCATCATATTAATATACGATATAACGTTAAACACATAATATCATGTAGTTCAATGCAAGCCAGTACAAAACAATATAGTTGAAATGATATATTTAAATTTACATTACAATACAATTTATCTATTTATGTAATATGAGAATTATGCCGATTGGCATGGCATTATATCTTAACAATAATTATAACAAACTAAATGCACAAGAGTTTAAAGCACGGTAAAACTGCATATATAATTGTTGTGTGTGTGTGTGTATGAATATATATAAATAAATAAATAAATAAATATATATATATATGTGTGTGTGTGTGTGTGTATATATATATATATATATATATATATATATATATATATATATATATATATATATTTGTATAATTTTGCTGTAAAGTGATAAATGTAAACAAATATAATGGAATTCATGAAAAATTTGTCAAGTATAAAAATGAGGGTCAGTGTTCAGACTTTTTGGTTACTCAGCCCCCTCCTTGACAGCATCCTACTCTTTTATCATGATTATAAATGCAGTATTCCTGTAAACCAGTGCAAAAAATGCATGATGTTAGTTCCTACATTTAGTGGGTATTTGTGCATCTGGTTCTGGACAACAACATAATGTATATTAAGAGAGAAGGCTGGGACTTAATTATAGCTTAGTTTGGACTGAAAACGAAATATGAAACAGGACTACTTTAGCTTTTATCTTTTGCAGGTGATTTTCTGAAACAAGCATAAGATGCTCTTATATATTTATTTGTGTGGGGTGTGTAAACTATGTGTGTGTCAGTGTGTGTGTGCTGCCAGTGGGGCTGGAAGTCATAAAGCACCCTCTACTGTGGCCGCTGTGTGTGTTTTCAGTGTGGGGGGGCGGCCGTCCCTGCCTCCTTTCCCTTTTTTAAGAAGCTGGGACCCTTTTTTCTACAGACGCCCCGACTCTCTGGCCAGGGGGAGTTTCCTGCTTTTGAAGACACACACACACACGCTCAGAGAGAGAGAGAGAGAGGGAGGCTGCCCTTACTTTTTCCTCCTCCTCCTCTCCCCCTCCCTCTCTCCTCCTCTCTTTTTCTGAATGGATGTCCTCTCTCTAACCTCAATTGAGCGCTGTGTAACAGGACACTGCCCTCTGCCGCAACAGGCTCAGCCCCCTCTTTAACACTATAAGAGAGTGCGGCGGCGCTCCCGAGAGCGTGTGTGAGGGAAAGTATGTCCGACAGTGTCAGTCTGAGGGAGAGAAGGAGGGAGGGAGGGTGAGGGAAAAAGAGAGAGAGAGAGAGAGAGAAACATGTGATAGCGTAACTTTGGCGGGGCTTGTTGGGAGTTTAACGGCTGTGGTGTCTCCAGAGCTCTGGGAAAGCACCTTTAGCCCAGAGGGAGCCTCACACACACTCACACACACACACACTCAGACACACACTCAGCCTCTGTCAGTGTGTGTGTGTGAGAAACTGTGTGTGTTTAGAGCTGCTGTTACTGATTACACTCTGAAGAATGCAGCAGCAGGAGGAGGAAAAAGAGAGGAGAGACATGAAAAGATGAGATCTTTTAGGATTTTTTTTTTTGCGTGTGACTTGCTCTCCCAGCCGTGGACAGTGACGTGGGTGAGAAGTTGTTACCCAATCGCGTCTCTCCCCTTTTCTCTCTCCCTTTTTTTCACTCAAGCAAAGTTAAAGAGAGAGGGGAAGCCGAAGGGAAAGGACACCCAGCAAAGTCAGACCGGTGAGCGTGAGGAGGGGGGGATCCCTCATTCCTGAGCCGGGAGGAAACTCACCCAGACGGGTAAGTAAAGAGGAAAAAAAGGGAGAGAGTGTGTGATAGAGGGGGGCAATGCTCCCAGAGAGTTGATGGATATCATATGTTAGATGTTAAAGCTTAGGAAACTGCTCCCAGATCAGTTTGGGAGCAGGAAACGCAGTCAGCTGAGCGTGTTTGTGAAAGTTTGAGCGTCAGGATGATCTTTACTCCATGAGCCGGTGGGTGTCACGCTGTGGGAGTTTGGGGTAGCGTTACCTCACAGAAGAGCTGATTCACTGTTACATAGCCGGCTTGTGTGTGTGTGTGTGTGTGTGGATCACACACTCTTTGAGGGGCTTATTACAGTTCAAGGATTAACTGAGAGGAACAATGTATGCTATCTGTGCGTAAAAATAGGTCTAATCTGCAGTTTTTTTCTTCACTTCCTCCCTGTCACGCTGTTTTCTCCCCCCCCCCCTCTCGTGCTCTGACACAGATAGCACAGTCCACTCTTGCAGCTCAGCAGCAGAGGGCATGAATGAACGGGGTGGAGGGTGAGGGAGGTGATGAGGAAGGAGGAAGGAGAGGGGGGTGGATGCATGTAGTATCATACAGCACGGACAGCGCAGTGTGGCTTCTTTATGAATGGACGTGGCAGCCGCGTGATGTGATTGGCTGAGAGCAGAGTGACGAGTCATGACTGCAAGAGCCCGAGTGTGTGGATTCATTTTAAAGAGAGCGTGTGTGTGTGTGTTTCAGGGGGGAAAATGTGTGTGTTAGTGGGACACAGAGAGAGTGTTTTTGTGTGATTCAGTCCTGGTGGTTCTGGGTTACATGTGTTTGTCTAAAGGGGGCTTAGTCACTGGCTCAACAGTGGGGTGTGTGTCTTAAAATCTGGACTTTTAAAAGCGGTGGCGGTCTGCCCGGCTGTTGTTCCTCTTCAGATGAGCTCCCACTCGCTCCCACTCGCTCTGACTAAGACCACGCTCGCTCCAGCTCTCATTACTCTTACTCACTTGTCATGTAATCAGAGGGCAGGTCTCCAGACTTCATGCAGTAATATCACTGCTGAATCACTCGCTGAACTCGTGAAACTGTAATGTCTTCTGCGTGACATTTACTTTTTTGGATTTCCGTTCAATAATTTAAGGGAAAAGTGGACACCAAAATTATCTGTAATCACCTCTAACTCTCAAAGAGATCCAGGGACTGAGTGTGTCAAAGTACAAGTGTGTATATCACCAGTAATAGTCACTTATTACAAATAATAAAACACATGCGAAACTTTTTTATGCAATAATAAAGTAAAACAGAAATTAATTTTTGTTACTAAATCATGAAAAACAAGTGATTCATCCATTCAGAAATGATGCCAAGTGCTTCTCTGGTGAGATCTGATGTTTGAAGAATGAATGAAAATTAAGTTATTTTTCTCTCATTTCTCATTTCTCTGAACTGATTAGTCACTGCATGACTTTTTAATTTTTGCATGTCGCATTATTTACTTTGCACATGTAAACACCTGAGTTAGAGAATGACAGTTTGCAACTTTTATAGCAGCTTATTTGATGGTTCAAGTCATGAAACTGAATTAAAAAAAAACATTAAAAGTTCATAGAAGAATGAGTTTTCCACCTCTCTCTTTTCTTTATCTTCCATACTTACTGAGGGTATTTTAAGTGTTTTTAGTTGGGTTGTATTTAAGAGAGGTTCATTTAGGACAAGTTGCTGCATTACTTTTTATTTTTGAACAAGTTGAATTATTTGAAATACTTTAAAGTCAATAATTGTGTACATGTAAACACCTGTGTTGCAGAATGACAGTTTGCAACTTAAAGCAACTTTTATAGGAGCTTATTTGATGGTTCAAGTCATGAAACTGAATTTAAAAAACAAAAGTTCATATGAGAATGAGTTTTCCACCTCTCTCTTTTCTTTGTCTTTATTTACTTTTACTGTACTTACTGAGGGTATTTTAAGGTTGTATTTAAAAGAGGTTGTTCAGTTAGGACAAGTTGCTGCATGACTTTTTATTTTTGCACAAGTTGAATTATTTTGAATACTTTAAAGTCAATAATTGTGTACATGTAAACACCTGCATTGCAGAATAAGAATTTGTGAGTTGAATGGAACTTTTAAAGTGGATTTTAGTAATGTTAAAAATTATCAAACAGGGTAGAGTTATTGAAAAAAAATTAACTGAGAGTGATAAGATATCTTGGCAGTCTTTTATTGCACTTAAAGTATTTTAACTGATTTCAGTGGTGTTGTGATTAAGGGATGTTGTTATTTATCTAATGTCTACTCACATGTTGATGCAGGACTTTTTATTTAGAGTCAACAATTTTGCACGTTAACAGATAAGCAGAAAAATGACGGTTTTCAGGTTGAATCTTTTTTTGTAAAAGTTAAAATTGTTGTACAGAATGAAACACATTTAAAGATTTATACAAGACTGATCATGTTTTAGCCGAAACATTTTTGCCTTTACTTGGTGGGATAGCTTCAGAGGGAAATAAGACGCCCAGGTGGTACTTTTTAACTTTCCTTTAAGTATTTTAAAGATTTTAGTAGGACTGTTTTTGAGAAAGGTTGTTTTAAGTGTTTAAACGGTTTTATTTTAAAACAACCAAATTGAGAAACAAATTGCCTCTTTTTTTTCAAATTGCTGATTCTACTACCAAGTTAAAATCATAAATTATGAACCATAATTACTCAGAAGTGTAGTGTGCAGTGGCAATATGAAATAAAAGTCCATCTGTCTGTTTGAATAAGTGTTTTTGTTTTGTAAAATTTGAATTATCCTTTTGCACCCTCACGCTTCTGCAGCTGCACAGAATGGACATATAGTGACATTCATGTTTTTATATTGAGTGAATTACAGTGTGAATTGCACTGGTTGGGAGATGAAGAAAAAGGTTGTTGTTGTGCACAAAATAACTCGCACTGATCAACATTTTTGATCATAAAAATTTGTCTTCAAAGGCCACTGTAGCTTCACTGATGAAAGTGGTGAGCAAGGGAGCATCTCACTCTCGAAGATCACTAAATATTCACGTCTGTTCACTGTTTTTTAAGAGTCATGGTAATTTTGCAGAGTTACTGAGGTATTTCAGTATTTCATTCACTTTTGTCAAATTCTTTTTATCAAGCTTGAACATATAAAAGGACTTCTTTGCGTATTTTTCTTTGTATAATTCAAGTTTCAAGTCAGCTGAAGCACAGGGGTTCTGTTGCTCTCATTATTTCTTCTGTTTAGCACCAAAACCTCAAGAATAATTCCGCTTTTCTGTAAACAACTTTGCAGCAAACCTCAGTCTGTTCTGACATCGTTACACATGGTGGTTTGAGGGTCACGATAATCGTATGGTTCCTAAAGAAGTGCAGTACTGTTTGACTCTTTTAGCAGCTCTTCCTTCACATTTTTACAGAAATACTGTAAATTTTATTGTTTCTTTTCCTGTCAATTTTCCTGCTCACTTGCAACTACATTTATGTTTCTTCTTGTGTCACTATTCTGCATTAAAACACTGGAAATGTTCATGTTGTGTGAACCAGCTTCACAACAAGACTCAAACCACAGGACTCAAGACTCTTAAGAATATTGTATTCTTACTATGATATTGTATTTATGTATATTTAAGGCAGTCTTTATATCTCATAATTGATCAAAGTGAAGATTACAGTTTAAGTTTATCTATTTGTATTTTATGTCCCAAAACTAGTGATGATGTTAGTTCAGGCAGGCCAGGAAAACTAGTTAACCCACCTTAAACCTGGCGCTTAGCTGCTACTCTCTATCTCAAGCTTTGGCATTTCCTGTATGCATGTAGGCAGCTGTACATGGGGGTCTTTGCTGCTGCTCTCTCTGCCTCAGGTTTTGGTTCTTCAGACCTCCATGCTTAACACGCATGCACAGCTGGATCTGTTTCCTTGTTTTACTGCCACTGAATGACAGCCGCTCCTTTAACTCCACCAAAGTTTACTGCAGTTTCACGTGGAACACTTTCTTCTTCACTGCTAGAAACTCCAGCATAATGGTAGTTTATGGCTCTAGTGTGTGTCTAAATGTGTTAGTGTGTGTCTGTGTGAGTGAGGAGTTGTGATAAGGTGCGTAACTGTCACATCATAGCGCAGAGGATCTATCAGCTCTTATCGGGCGGCGTTTCCGGCTGAGTTTGAGATAGGAGGACGGATTGGCGGTGAGATGCATCGCAGGTATCTTGATGAGGGTGGAGATTAAATTCCCAGGTGGAGATTAGCTGGAATCTGCCCCCTTGCCTTATCAACCTGCCGACACAGAATGAACTCTGACCCCGCAGCCTGCTTGGCAGGAAGTAGAGTTGACCTCGATCCAGGTTCCAATTACACTTCCGGGACAAAAATCATGCGTTTGTGAAACACGTGAACCATTCCTTTAAAATCTAATCATAACTATGAGAAAGTTTACACAGGTGACATGAGTTTATGAAACACTTATTTGAAAGAGTGCTTCATTCCCTTTTTGAAGGATCACATTTTATTGAATAAGGACACAATAACTGGATTTTTATGTACTTTTAAAAATGGAGCATTAGAATGAAGTCGAAAACTTATCGAGAAAATCCAACATCGAGCATGATTTCGTGATTATTTCCTAACTACATTTACCCAAAAACCTACTTAATTTTAAATTTTTGCAATGACTGATGCTTTGTTTTATTTCATTTAATTAATTTTTTAAATGCTTATTTGTTCCTGTAGTTTAGGAACTTTTTCAGCTTACTCCCTGCGATAGAGAACTTTTTCTAGCCTCTCATAACTTTTCTTTCAGACTTATCATCGAAGTATTTTTTAACACAAGGCATTCTACAGAGTCTGTATAAAGATCGGTGGATGAACAGATGATTCAGTGAGGTGGGACAGATTACAGGGACACAAGTCACCACACTGACTGAACCTCATTCTCTGCTCTGAATGAAGCACACACACAGAAACACACACACTCACACACACTTGGGCTGCAGTAAGTCAGGCGTTGGGTAAAGTTTCTTAAAGTGGGTTAAGCGGCACAAGAAGGATCTTAACCATCACTTGACTCATTCCTTCTTTTCTTTGCCCGACTTTCCTTTTCACATGACTCGTCTTTGTTTATCCAGCAACAAGTCACTCTCACAAGTCCGTCATTCAGCGGCAGATTGTGCAGTTAAGAGCTTAGCCGCATAACTCAGATGTCACAGGGCTGAAAGCAGTTTGGTTCAGCCCGTTAATGTGTGTGCGTCCTCTGTGTGTGCGTGTGTCTGTGTACTCAGGAACACTCGTTCCAACGGTGTGCTAACCACACACACCTGGCCTGTTTCCTCCCATGCTCATATATGGGCAAAGCTTCCCCTACCTGGGCCCCACTCTGGATTCCAATAAGTGGCAGTATGTGTGTGTGTGAGCGTGCGTGAAAGAGGCTGTGGAGACGGATGCACGTCATGGAAAACCAGGATCAATGGGCACGGCCGCAGAGCTGCGTTTTTAAGGTGTTCCTTTTGTTTTCCAAAGGTAATCAGTGAACACAATGACTCAGCCGGGCCGAGGCGGGCTGACTATTCAGAGTGTCCGCAGCAAGACGACGTCAGAGAGATGCAGCCGTCATATAACTATTATAGGAGATAATCCAAATATGAAGCAGGTACAAGAAACTCCCTATAGATCAGATTTTAGATCAAGAATCCAGACATGTCTTTGGTCAATCAGCAGGAGCACTGAGCCAAAAGAGATATAGTCAACTGCTTTTGACTTTATTTGAAATATTTTCTTTACCCTTCATCCAAAGAGACTCTCTAGAGACTCCAAAATACATAAACTCAAATTGTGCTGCTTGTATTAAAGTTAATCCAGCGATGAAGCAGGTAGGAGAAACTTTATTGTTAGATATTAGATCAGGAATCCAGCACTTAATAGAAGTAAGACACACCAACAAATATTGAAACTTCATTTTAAGATTATTTTCTGTTCTTGTTTTCTCAAGGTGATTTTTAAAAGACCTACAAAGATTTCTAGGGCACAGAAAGTCAGACTACAGACCTCTTTTTCAATGTAATCCAGCATCAAAGCAAGCGAAACAAAATCCCTGTGAGTCATGTTTGATATTTAAAATTCCACTCTTAATTTCAGCTAAGCTGAGGCATGAACTTTAAGGAATATTTCAACACTGAATATCACAAATCCTTTGAATTTTAACCTCAGTGACCCCCTTTATCCCTAGAGACTTTTAAAGCAAAGTGCTTTTTGATTGAGTCTTAATTTTTCTTGCCTCAAAGGAAAAATTTTTAAAACTTTACTGAAAAACTGAATTCACGTTTTAAGATTTTGATGCACAAATTCTTTCTGGAGGATATGTAAGAACAAGTGAAAAAAAGGTTTTAAAACACAAACACTGTGGAAATGTAGGTGTTATTTAAAGACACTAAAACCAAGATCAGGTGCATTATATGAAAAACGACTTTAACTTTCAAACATTGAAAAATACTAATCTTTTTGTGAGTTGTTTCCTAAAAGTCTGGATTTTCCCTACCTTAAACTTTTCAAGGCATATCTACGGTGGCCCTTGAGGTCAAGTGCACAACCATTTCATGACCACAAAAAGCATTTCATAGAGTTTTGAAAAACATTCTTCACATTTTGTGAATTAGTTTTGCATTTTGTTAAATATATTGTCGTGTTTTGTGAAATGTTTTCTGGTTAGTAACTTTTTGAATTACCATTTTTTTGTGTTTTGTAAAGCGCTTTTACTTTCTGTAAAATATTTTTGTTTTGTAAATTGTTCATGGATTTCATGACACATTTTTTTGTGCTCATGAAATGTTTGTGAATGTTTAACGCTTTTAAAAAGATTTTTTAAGACCTAGTGCGCAGTTATGTATATATATTTTAGCTAGAACTAAAACTGCAGTTAATTAATACCAAAAATTAAAAAAAATTCAACAGTCAAGCCAATACTCAGTCATTTTGACAGTTAAAACTTTAAAAACTATTTTAAAGCTGTTTGAGTCTTTTTTTTTAAAACAAAAAACTCTAAAGTACAAGTTTTCATAAATGCCATGAATGTTCAGTTTTATCTTAAAATACAGAGAAGTTTGGCAAGTTAATGAGTGCACAGTTTTTTGTTAATATGTAACTGTATATGTATGCAAATTCTTCCACATACACTTAATCATTAAAAATCTAAAGCTTATATATTTCTTTGGGATTCTCCTTTTAAAAGCTTTAAAATCAAACTTATTTATCTCTAATTTCAGGATGGATTAGATTACGATCGATAAAATCCTCCGAGAAAAGTTCACTTAATATAACTTAAATAATGGCATCCGCTCATGTCTGTTATACCGGAGGGATTACTTCATCAAAATTCAACTTCTTGAATATAATTACAGATTCTGAGATGATAAAATTAACCGGCACCAATACTTCCTCAATTTAACTTCTGGTATTTTAACATCTCTTAACTCTGCATTGGTTTTTGTCGTAAAAATCTGTATAATTGAGCTAATGCTGTGTGAATTATGTAAGTCTATAAATGATCATAGATTTTTCAAGAACACTTTTTTGGGACTCTTATCAAACCAGTGGATCCAAAACTATAAGAAGAAATATAGAAACATGGTCATGATATTCTTTAAGAGCCTGGAGACACTTCTTGTCTCCTAAATCTGTTTGGCCTAAAGCTTGTACGAGTTACGCTCGATCTTTAAAAGGTTTATTTAAGATTATACCATTTCTGCAAATTTTGCAGTGCATGCATCCTAAAGTGAAAGGTCACAAAGAGACGAAGGACGATACTGCGTGTAAGAGGGAAGCTTTTACTTTCTGTTGCATGGAGAACGAAGGGTTTCTGCATCTTTGGGTTTCATTTAAGATAGATTTATTCAGGATCAGACCCTGTGAGAGGCTGTCTCCAGAAGGATAAACCCTGTGACCCCACAAAGGTCAAAAGGTGAGGGAGACTCCTTCTTTCCCTCCTCTTTCTGTACTCCTCTGTTTCTCCCTCCTCTGCCGCCTCCTTTCTTCGCTTGCTGCACGTTTGCCAGGCCTTCATAAAGCAGCTCGAGGAGGGAGTTAGCTTTCCTCGCTCGTGTTGCCAACTCTTTCCCATCAGTCCAGCCCCCTGGAAGACTCTGCAGACTCCCCACTCTCCCTCTCTCCCTCTCTCTCCCCCGGCCTAAAGCCGAGCCTGGGGCTGGGGGACGGGGTACAGGCCGTTGTGTTCGAGGTGGGGGCTCCCTCTGGAGAAGCTCTTTGCAGGCCTGGATTTAGTCTGCACCTCCACGACAGCCACCAAGCAACACCCAGAGGAAGCGTTTGAGATCGGCTTACATATGAAGCCTGGTTCATCTCCTGAGTTTTAAAATGAGGATAGAAAGAAAGTGGGAGATGGTGGAAAAGGAGGGGGAGACACAGAAGGGGAAAGACTTTGGAGAGCGATGAGAGGTGGCGGGGAAGACGGAGACTCCATAACCTTGGTGTCTCTGCAGAATCAGACACATTGGCTTCGTCTCTTTGGTTGGACACTTTCACTCAACCGTAACGACCGATCAGACGAACAGACCGGGCTTTAATGGAAGCTGAAGAGCTGAGAACTGATATCTGATTGGCTGTCGGCCTCGTGGAACAACTGCTTAATTGGTGGCGAAACTGGTGGCGAGCGCTGCATCAAGACAAGACCCTGTCTGCAAGATGACTAACAGATGAGAGATCGAAATGATTGGTGCAGGATTCATGAACAAAAATAAGGGAAGCGATTTCTAATGTTGGAACTTTTCATCAGTATCGAGGAGGGCAGGGTCCTCTGTGCAAAAGGAACAAGGACCAAAACCAACGCTGGATGGATCTTACGGTCAGCACTGCATTGAAAACAGACAGGACTCTGTAGTGGAAATCACTGATCACTTCCAAAAACCATCATCTGTGTCCACAGTTCATCACTGCATCCACAAATGAGGTTGAAACTGAACCATGCAAAGAAATAAACAGATATAAACATGATCCAGAAGCACCAGAGACTTCTCTGAGACCTGAGGAATCAAAATCGGACATTCTTACTGGTAATCATGGTCATTGCGTCCTCCACTCTAAAGAACAGAGGGACCATCTGGCTTGTTATCAGCTCACAGTCCAAAGCCAGCATCCCTGATGGTATGGGGCTCAGAAGTGTCCATGGCATGGGAAGCTTCCACATCTGTGAAGGAGCAACATCTGCTGACATCCAGACAATGACCTTTTCAGGGAAGACCTTCATATTTCAGCAAGGCAGTCAGTTCATTTACATGACACTCGAGAATACCGAATTATTGCCTTATTCCGATTAAGACCGAACAACTGAAGTGCACGTAAACACCTTAGTCCGACTATAATCGGAGTTTGAGAACTCTGATTAAGACACCCAGATAATGCGATTGGAATTCGATTTTCTCTACCATGTAACCAGCGTAGACGGAGTATGATCGGACAATGCATGTGTGTACGCCACACCCTTGTAACCCCGGAACAAAAACACCAGAGAAGAGGAGTAGTGTGCATCTCATCTTCAGAAAAAGTAGCCCGTTCATCATGTACAACAAAAACGACACTGTACGATGCTCCATCTTCTTGCTTGGAAATGCCCAGCAGCAGTTGTAGACACTTCTGACGTCTGGCATGGACCTGCTGCTGTTGTTGACCGTTGTATGGGGTCGGATACGCGCCGCTGAAAAGACCCATATCACCCACAAGTTTTAGGGAGAAGGACACGTTCGCATCAATAATTCGTGGACAAGGAGACAAGTCCAATTTGGCGGAAAGAACGAATTATGAGCTTTGTCCGATCAAGCTGTGCATGTAAACGCACTGAATGACCGACCACATTCTGCTGGGATTACAACAGCGTGGCTCTGTAGTAGAAAAGTCCTGCCTTATAACTTTTTGAGCATCATGACACAAAAAAAAACAGGACAAAGGAGACCCTGGACCATTAAGAACACGAGGCTTTTGTATTTTAATAAATGTTAGAGTAGATGAATTTTCCCCAGTATGTTAAGAACGAAAGAAAAGATCGCTTTAGACTCTAGATGGTGTTTCAGTGAAGGTTACAGGGACTTCAGGTCGAGGAAGGGAGTGCTGGGAATCCTGAGGAAAGGGTGAGGATGGGTGATGCAGGGGGGGAGGACGGGTGAGGCCAGGCGTGCCTTCCATTCCTGCCTGCTCGGGGTGAGGCTATTCCTAGAGTGTGGTGGATGGCAGTTGATGTGGGTTTCCTCTGAGCTGCCTGGAAGATGACTGGCCCTGACCACATCCACATTCACACACGCACACACGTACACACACCAGACACACAGTGACAACTGTACAGCAAACACACACATGCAGAAACATACACACATTCACATGCATAAACACACACGTTGTAAGGAGAGGAAAGAGGAACTGAATCATTACGCTGCCTCAGCCTCTAAGCTGGGGGTGACCACTGTACAACTATTTGTGTGTGTGTGTGTATGTGTGTGTCTGCATGTGTGTGTGTGTGTGTGTGTGTGCAAAGATACGTTGCATTTCTGCAGTAAAGAGACATCAGCTCTTTGGTTGTGTGTCTGGGCTGTTTGTTGCTCAAGTATGTGTGGGCATGTGTGTGTGGGCGGGTGTGTAGGATGTGTGAGCTGGGTGTGGATGCATTCCCTCAATGTGTGTGTGTGTGTGTGTGTGTGTGTGTGTGTGTGTGTGTGTGTGTGTGTGTGTGTGTTTGCCTCCCTCCATCTGTAAAGCTTAGGACTCAGTGTGTTCGGTTATTCTCCAGAAAAAATAAACCTGGAAATCTTACAGTGTTCATTAAAATTGGCTTCCTGAATTTTTCAAAATCCATATTTTGCATGCAAACACATTCTGCACAAAGTCTTTGATTCACACGCAACTGCAAACGTGACGTGCAAAGTCCTTTTGAATCAAGACATACAGCGTTTGCGTGAACATAATGAGTGACAATTAGCTTAAATTTCCCTGCATGTGCTTCATTTAGTATTCGAGATTGGGTTTTGGTTATATTTCAGTATTTATTTCCATCTATAAACCGGCATATGTAGAGAAGTCCTCCCTTTCTGTCCTGTAACTCACAGGCATGTATTTCAAAAGGCTCTGCTGGTTGGATTCACTTGTGCATAAACTCAAGCTGATTGTTGCCTTCTTGAACAAAATAGAATATTCATCTTTGTGCTTTCATCTTATGCTCAAAAAACAGTTTTCTTGCTGATGTTGTTGCATAAACTTGACCAGAAAGCATTTAGATCCCCTTATTTCTCTATCCACCCTCACCTGCATTTCTATAGAATCTATGAAGGAGACTTCTCATTTTCTAATCACTGATAAATCATCTGTATTTCATGTGGAATTTAAAAAAAAAACATATTTTTGCAACATAATGGTATTCAGATTCACCAAAATTAAAGCTTTATATCAAACCATGTCTGAGTGGGGATAGACTTGAGTTTGGTTTCTCATGAGTTATTTTTCAGTCTGTTTTAAACTCGGATCACAAAGAGAAAAGAACGTTTTGAATTTCCTCTGACCTCACCCTGCTATCATGTCGAGTCCCACTAAGCAAAGGCTTCAGTTTCGATGGAAAAATCAGATGATAAAGTGACTTCAGGTACATCTGAGCTCTCTGGCAGCATCACCAAAGCGTGGAAAAAAAGACAGAGATAAGACATGGAAGACGTTATCAGCTTATCTGTCGCCCTGTGAGCTTATTCAGGCTCGCCAGTCTGGACCTGTCAATATCACAGTCCCTCTCGAGGTGCCGATGACAGCTATGACAAACAGCTGGGAATCCTGATTTAACCTGTATCACGATAACACGACAAGTTTCTGACCTCCCGTTTTCTTTCTTTATGTTTTTCAGGTCGTCTTTTGTGCACCAGCTCTTCCACAAATACCACCCGTGTGCTTCTAAATCTACACCAAGCAGAGGTAAGAAGTCGTCCCTCGATTTCTGCAGTTTTCTTTTCATCTCTCTTCTCTGACTCCCACACCTCCACCCTCTTTGTGCAAACTGTATTCCCTGCAGCAGAGAACAGAGCCCGAGGCAACATCCCTTTACACCTCTTCATATCCCCCTTCGTTTAAAGCTTCGGCAGAGAGAGAGAAGGACTGATGATAACTCTTAAAGTTCACAGGTCAAATCAGTCAATACGCTGTCAGAGGAAAGAGGGAAAAAGCACAAGTCACACAACCTCTTCAAACCTTTTTCTCCTTTCGTTTTGTTGATCCAAAGCTGCATCATGGAAGCAAACAGTGTTCCTCAGGGTTGTTAGAAAAGTATTGAAATTGACGCGAGTTTAAAAAAGTTCAGACAAGACAGATGTTGAAGAAAAATATTTGTATTGCAAAGCTCTTTCCACTTTTTTGATGAGTGAAAAAGACAGATCTTCATTTGTGTTTCTTATCTGCCTTTGTTAGGGGGAAACAGATTGCGGGGCTGCAAGCTGAGCCGTTGACTGTGCACAGTGTTGGGATTTCTCAAATAATTATGTCTTTCTAAGCTTTTTCCAAAGAGCCAAAATATCCACAGAAGTCCTCTTCTCTCTGAGACAAAAAAAATGAGTCAGTAAAAACCTGTTAACTACCTGAAAGAGACGGTTTACTTGAAAATTCAGGTTTTTTTAATGCACTTTGGTGAAGCCAGCCTGGTACATTAACATTAACTGCTGCTGACTTGTTTTCTAGCTATACAATCAGTTGAATTAGTAAGAGAGAGTGATTCAACAACTTTTAGTGCATTAAGGAAAACATTGATTGTAATTTTTAGTAGAAAACAAGGACTATTTTAGCGGTAAAATGTGAGACACGATAGGCTGATTTCTGAATTTGCTGAAGTGTTGAAATGCATTTAAAAAACTGATAGTCAAAGCTTTATTCTTCACTCTTCCTTGCCATTAAAATCTAGTTAAACTGACAAAATGAACATCAGGTTTAGCCCTAGAATAATCATACTCAGATGTACTTTTTTGCCTGAACAAAACTATTTGTTGCATTGAAATGTAACCCTGGAAAGGTCTGGAATATTGCGGTGAAATAGGTAAAAGGTGAGAGAGAAATAGAGACGGACAGAAAGAGCAGAGATGGTGACAGAGAGCTGGAATGTGAGACAGAGAGGGAGAGCGTCCAGCAGCACATTTCCCTTAATAAAAAGAAATTGGAGTCAAGTGATGATCAGCTGGTCAGAGGACGTTTGATCAATACGGTCACGGGGCCTCAGGTATGCAGAGCTCGGCGTGTGGCGTGTGACCGCAGAGAGAGGGAGAGGGAGAAGGAGGAGGGAGTCCTCCCTCTCTCACCTCCCGCTCCTCTCCTTCTGTGGTCACCTGTGCAGGTCGTCCTTTATTGACCCGGGTCAGCTCTCCCATTCTTGGCCTGGCTGAGAATTGGAGCCCGCATGGTGGTGGTCACCGCCTGTCGCGCCTCGGGGCTAATGGGAAAGAATGACAGGAATCTGCAACTGATAATGCCACGCTAGGAGAAGTTCGTCAGCAGATAATCTCCCATATCCTTTCCTCTCCACCCTCAGGCTGCTCTTCTTCTCCTTCTTCAGAGATACAGAAAGAAGTGTTACTTTAGATACTTATTTTTTTATGCTTTGAAGAGAAGATGTCCTGATTTTACTTTTATCTGCAGAGGGAAAAAAAATTGCTGAAGTTTTGGTTGTTTTAACAAACACTACTCTCTCAGTTAGCAGCACTTTCTTTTACGTCATTATCACATGATTTTTACCAGCAATTCTTCAAGAAAGCTGCAAGTCTTTTACTTGCACATATTTGTTTTATCTGCTTGCAAAACTTTCCAAAATTGTCATGAAAAACCGTCAGCAACACTGTGATTAAACGCTGCATCATTTTTACCCTCCCTTAATTGACTTTTTACTTTTATTTCGCTGTTCCTTCATTCATCAGCATATATCTAAACAGTTTGGTGTTATTAATTCAGTGTCTGGTGTCTTTCATACCTGGCCATTTTCTGCAGTCCACAGTGACCTTCTTTAGCATTTTTTTACCATATCATCACACAGCAGGTCCTGGCAGAAAAGAGCAGCATCTGTTTGCTGCTAAAATCTCACTGAGGTTTAACCCTGAAATGAGTATTACCTTGTTAATAATTAATATCAACGGGTTTCATCTGTAGAATCTTAAGCAGTTGCAGTAAACCAGTATTAATGACAATGACTTTTTTAAATGAATTAATTCTTGATATAACACTAAGTGGACCTGAATGATGGTTTCCAGTTCAGTTCGGTAACTTATGATCTACTAGAAGTAGTATATTTCAAAATAAAAGCACAGTTTGACATTGCAGGAAATAAAGAAAACTAAATGAAACACAGAAAGATATATTAACAATTAAGCCAGACCAACTATAATTTTTTGAGGTCATGTCTTCTCCAAAGAAGTTTCAGTCACAGGGCCGCTGATGTGGATAAATCATAAACTTGTACATTGTTGTGTAAATTACTGATGACTGTAAGTTAATTGTGTTTATTACATTTGTTTATGAAGTGTTATGTTGCCCCACTCTTGTCTTGCCTTTTCTCTGTATGTCTGATTGTGATGTTTTTATTCGTGTTTTCCATAAATACTACAACAATGTCTTTATTGTGACATTTTATGGCGATGATAATCAAGAGTTAAAAATCTGAAATCCTGACAGCCCTCATGTGCTCATCATTGAAACGAAACAGTTTGATTTTCTGTGAATATTTGTCATATTTGTGAGGCCTGGAAGTTTCTAAAGAATCTGAAGAATCTGACAGTGCTCCTCTCTAAATATGTAAAAATGAAAATCTGAAATGACCCTGCTGCCTGGATGTATTTATGAGACAAACAAAGTGCTCTTGGTGGGATTAATGAAATGTTCTGATTGATTTATTGAAACACCTCCTTCTTCATCTTTTCCTGCTCACCTCCCATCATCACTCAGGTCTTCATAGAAATGTTTTGTCTCTTTTCCCCTTGTTATCCCCACTTATCATGTTTCTAAAGTCTTCTTTCTCTTCTCTCTCTCCTCAGATTTGTCTCCAGGAGTTTGCTTCCCGTCCCTCTGGGCGTGACCGAAGCGTTCGCCCTTCACGCTTCACGCCTCTGTGGCTGCTGTCAGTTGCTCAGTAGGCAGTGTAGATCCTGTGTAGCAATCAGCAGCTACATCTGGCTACTGGGTCTCTGACGGCTCGGCCTACTTCCTGGTTGAACCAGTCCAAACCCTGCTCCTATTGGCTGCCGGTGCATTCCAATCCTGCGATTGGCTGCGACGAGAGGGGGGCTCCATCCTGTGACCCCACAGACAGGATGTTCTCTGTGTCACAACTCCACAAGGGGCCCTTGTCAAGGCTTTTTTCTCCTCTTCCTCTTCCTCTTCTTCCGTCATTCTTCTTTTAATTCTGCCTCTCTGCCTCGTGCTCTGAGAGATCCTCTTTGTACTAAAAACGCTGGGAACACAAACCCACAAAAGCATATTAGGGATGTTTTTAGGTCTTGTGATTATGATAGTGATGTTAAAACTCAGCATTTTAATCAAAATTCAAAATCGTATAAATTTCTAAAAGTCTGCTGACATAGGCGCCTAATGAGGTGTGTTGAAGCTCAGGTACTTGTTTAAAAGAAAAGGTAAAAATCAGACAATCATTAGTAAGAAACTATTGAATTGTTGGCATTTGAAGCGCCTGGAAGATACAGTCAGTTTGTGTTGATTTTGGCGCCCCCTGTGCAAAGAGCAGCATCTCTTTACGGAAACAGCTTTGAGCTTTAACAATAACCACATAATAAGTCTGTCTTTATGCAGATGATCTCATTTGTTTTGTGGATCACAGTGGCGTTTCATGAGCTTCAATTTCTCTAAATGTTTCTGAGTTGGGTTCGAGTCAATTCCTCCAAATTAAATTACTCTACGGGTTCTGTTCTTTAGTTAGTTAGGTTTTTTGTATTAGTGCAAAAACGATCATAAAAAAGGAAAGAGACATCTGCATACAAATTGCACATGTAGGATAAAAAAAAAGGGGTCTAGGTGTTCACAAAGGTCGAAAAGTTTTTATTTAAGTGTTTCAATTGATGCAGACACTTCACTGTAAAAAAACGCGTATTATAGTCTACCTGCAGTCCCTTCATTGTCCACCAGGAGGCTAAATAGGAACATTAGTCTTTTAATTAGGCAAGTATTCGATTTTTCGACACTGGTGGTTTGTTTTTGACTGATAGCTATGAATACTTTATCTTCTATCTTCTATTTCTCCATCATTTTAACCTTTACATTTCTCTTTATCGATTGCGAACTCACTACGTTGTCAGGTTTTCCGACACTATTTCAAATAAAGGAAATCGGTCTGATTTTTTAGGCTAACTTTGAAGGAACTTTAAATATCCTTGGTAAGAGATAATTAAAGGTGATCAGAAATGCCCTCGGGGAGATGTTTGGCCAAAGGAAAAGTCTGAATCGCTGCATATTTTCAGAAATGAACCTTTGCTCTGTCCTGAACCTGGCATACAATGTAGATTTCTGTGTGGTTCAATTCTACAGCTACATTGTCTGCTGGGTTTCTGGCTAGCAATATAAGCCCCCTGTTATATAAACCTTCCACACAGGTAAGCATTCATGTGTTCTGTCAATGTGCCTCACATACCTGACCTTGACTATTCAATAAAAAGGAAATATTTCACCTAAATACTACTGAGTGAGTGACTGTCGTTTGTCAGACTGAATATCACATTTGAAGGCAGGAAATCTGGAATCTGCAGAATCTAAATTGATCGAGTGTTGCCTCTGCGTCCCTGGAGTTAACCCCGAGCTGGAGATGCCAGGAATATTCTAGTAACTCAGCACAAAGCCAGCTCGTTGTCTGTCAGGAGGATGTCAGACTGCTGTCAGACCAGCTCCTTATTAGTGGGACAGAACTGTCGCAGCCAACACACACACACACATTCACAGATACACACACCTGGGATTATACCAAAACTTCATAAAAACCATCAATGCCTTCAGCAGATATTTGGCAATCCATCCTCAGGGTGCAGAAGAGAAAATCAAACATTTCATGGCGCTTTGCTCAGGGTTGCTCAGCAGAGAGACATTATCTTGAACAATCGCACAACTTCAGGTGGCAAATTGAAAGCCCACACCTGGGTGTTTTTCAGGTGATTTGAAGCTTGTCTAAAAATGAAACTCAAATATGTCCCCTGTTTGTAGCCGTTGTTTTTGTTAAAGGTCCTTGCAAGATACAAAAACAAGTACACACAAACAGGACATTGCCAGGACACTGATGAAAAAGAGACTTTTAATCCCAATGAGTTATGTGTCTCCAGGTTTAATAAAGAATAAATAAAATGAAAATGAAAAGCGTTTAATCCTGAGGATACTTGGCTGAGGGACTGCTGATGTTGGATCAAACTCTCACACCTTCAGGGCACTGGTTGTTTAACGTGTAATTTTCACCTGAGTGGTTTGGAACAATTAACATGTCAAAAATAAAGGAACACAAAAACGTCCCCACTTTGTAGATGTGTGACATGACAAAAGTTCCCTGATAGATAAAAAAGCAAGCACACAAAATTCACACGGATAAATTATTTCAAAATTTAACAAAAACCATCAATACCTTTAGTTGATGTCTGGCATACCATCCTCAGTGTGCAGCAGTTGTAGACAAACACTTTATGGACTATGAGTTGCTTTGAGTTTTTCATATACCTTCTGGTTGCTGAAAGGTTTTAAATGTAGAATTTTAAGAGTAGTTTTGTAATTTGTTGGAATGATTCAAGCACATGCAAGAAGGTGTTTGGGATTTCCTCCTTTAGTTACATCTATGTATTCCACCAAAATTTTAGCTGAAAGATGTCAGTACAAAACGAAACACCCTCGGGTCTTCTGGTGGCAAAAGTGTTCATCTCCTGGTTTCCATGTAATTTAAACACCTGTTGAATCTGCATCACAGCACTCTGTCTATTTGGTGCAAATGCTGCTTCTTCAAGAAATCTTTGTTGTTATGACGGCTTCACAGGTGACTCAAAGATTTGTTTTTCCCTCCTCATGAGGCATGTTTTACAAATTACTTTGGTGTTATCCTCCTCTGAAACTCTAGCTGCATTCACATAGTGCATTTTATCGAGACTGTCAAAAAGCCCAGTGAATAAAATTGTTTGATTTATAAACCTTATTCTGAATGACCACACCAAGGGGTAATATCAGCCTTTTCATAAACTGTTCAAAATAAATAGTTTTGGTAGAAAAACTCAACTTACTTCGTTGAAATGTGCAGGTGTGTTACCAAGTAAATAATATCAACTTTACTGATTGGTTTTACTAATTAATATTCTATTATCAAGTTAATAAATAATAATCAAATATTCTGTTTACTGAGTTGACAACCTGTCTGTCTGAATCCACTGTGCATCCTTTGTCCTAAGTATTAGGCTACATTCATACTGCAGGTTATGATGCACAATTTTGGATTTTTTTGTTAAATCCGATTTTTTTTCTCTAGTCGTTCACATTACAACAACGAATGCGGCATCTAATGTGAACAGAATGCGTCCGTGAAGTGACCTGCATGCGCACAAAGCACAAATTGCTTTCCGTGCCTATTTGTGTCCCGAGTGTCTACACTGCAGTCACATCAGATACATATCCGATTTATATCCACATACAAAAGAGGCCTGTGTCGGATCTGAAAAAATCAGAATTGCACTGTTCACACTAACATGAAAAAATCTGATTTGTTTCACATATGGTCAAAAAATCAGAATTGACCTACAGTGTGAACATAGCCTTAGAGGTCGATAGATATAACTTTTCAGTGGCTGATGCTGATTCTCATAATACGAGAGCAGGTTTAAATGTAATATGTATTTATAATTATCACATAGTTTTGTTCTACATTTGACAATTGAGTAAAAATTAACAAATGAGAAACAGACTTACTAAACTTCGATAAATATGAAAAACAAATGGGTGGTAGGGGTAAAGCTCTGCAGTAATTTGATCCATGTATAAAACAGATTTATTCTTTCATTTAAATGACAGTGAAAAACGTCAGCATGGCTCATTTTTCTGCTTTCATTTTTTGTAATCTATTTGTCTGCTTCAGTTTTTGGTCATTTTTCTAAATGTTTGTATTTTGTAACCCTGTTTTAAGCAAGAAATGTCATTCATGCATGATGCAATGGTGCATTCATATTATTTCATATGAAAATTATTGGTATATTTCTAAACAGACTTATTTTTTTCAATCGGTTTTACCCCTGTAGGTGTCTTACCTATTTGTAATGGAAATATTTGAATAAAAGTAAAAACAAAACATTTTCCATTCTAGTTTATGGATTTTTAATGCAACATAATGTATGTTGATGGATACAATCTTAAGAAAAAGATCATTTCTACTTTAAAATGTTTGTGCTTTCCCACTCTGCAAAATGATGCTAGCATGGTGTCCTGGTTACAGCAGATCTACGCTGGTTAATGTGGCTTTGCAGGATAAAAAAAGTGCCCCTCTTAGTGTAATTATACTGGATTTGCATTCATAATGGACTCCTCTCTACCATCAGAACAGGTCGTACCTGTTTCAGCTCTCGAGCTGTTAAAGTTCATCCTCTCTCAGCGGGGTGAATCCATCAGGACCGAGTGTGAGAATCCCAACAATGTGAGTGGTTGTTAATGGGCTGTACTGGGAGGTGTGTAAGTGTGTGTGAGTGTGTGGGCGGTTATTGTTGCTTTGATAAGCTGTTGATGACGCCAGCGGTGCGAGGTCTGCGTGCACAGTCAGAGTGAAAAACAACAGGACAGTAAGAGAAAAGAGGAGAGAAGTATGAAAGAGGAGAAATGAAGTAGAGAGAGAGAGAGACATTTGTCGTCATGTTTTACACACGGAGGAGGGAGGTGAAGGTGATGTTTGGGAAGGTAGCGCCGCTGATGTCATCAGTACACCTCACCTCAAACAAACACTGTGACGGTCTGATCTGCGTCACTGTGACATGTTATCTGAGTGACCTCTGCAGACGACTCGACCATCATTAGACCTGAACATGTAAAACAACGAAAGGTTTAAACCTTCGATAACAACATACAGATTTTACGTTAGCTTTGGTAGCTTTGGTAGCCCCTTACCTGTCTCTCTTTCTGAGCTGCTAGTTTTTCTCTACATTAAAAAAAAAAGGTGTTAAATTTTTAACACAATTAATTGCAACGACATAAATAGAAATATTTGGGACTTTAATTTCTCTGCCGAAGCTTGCGAGATTGAAGAAGTGTGTTTTTCTGTTTTTCCAGTCTGCAGATTGAACCTCCGACCCCTCACACATCACCTTTAAAAGCTCAGTCCTTACTCTGACTTTGTGTCACATCCATCAAAGTTTCTGAGTGAACGGAGATCTGCAGCAGATGAAACAGGAGCTGCTCCAGAAACCTTTCTCTGTCTGATATTTTACAGTTTCCTCTGAATGTCAACTCCTTTCAGACCACAGAGTCTCAGTCAGGCTCTGCTTTTTTACTTGAATGGAATTAAACGCAAGGTTAGGAGATTAAAAAACACAGATCGGCTCTTGTGTTTCACTGACAGTGATAAAACCAGACTCCGCTCAAGCTGAAAGGATTCATTTACTCAGAGTTGTACAGTCTCGGCTGAATCCTGGTTCATTTTTAAACTCCAGATCCTCTCTAAAGTCGCTATAGTGAATGAGGAGTTTGTTATTCAGTCAAGGTCAAGACTGAACCTACAGAGACTGAATCGTTGAGAGACTGTGTGAGCTAAAAGTTCAACAGTTTCAGGATAAAGTACCTGAAAGGATAAGTGGATTTCATCATCTTCAGAGAGTCTGGAGAAATCTCTGTGCAAAATAGACAAAGACCAAAACCAATACTGGATGGCCCTGATCTTCAGGCATTAGAAACAGACAGGACTTTATAGTGGAAATCACTGCATGGGCTCTTCATCACTTTCAAAAACCGTTGTCTGTGAACAGCTTTGTGTCCAAACTCTTATTTTGGACAATAAAATTCTACGTATAAATGTTACGTGCATTTAGACTGGTAGTCAGTCTGCCAAAACTAGAGGAATATTTGCTCATCTTGTTCCACCACCATCTTTCCTCCTGACGCAGATGAAAAAAAGAAAGGCATGGAGGTAAACAAACATGACTGACCACATCCGTGTTTAGATCCAACATGTTCAGAGACAACCGCTACCAGAGCTGAACAAGAACATATTTAATACTTGATGACGCATCCTGAATCATGACAGTTGTGTAAAACCTTAAATCCAATCTGGTGACTCAACCCCCTCTTGAAAGACAATCCAACAGATCGAGGGGAGAGAGAGCAGTAATCACACTGAGTCCGTCTCTGCTTTGGTTTCACCATATTACACCAGAAACTCAAACTGATGGTGAGCGCGGCAAATCCGAACACGTCTACACCTCATAATCTCTTACCAAACTCGCTGAGTCACTGTTTGCAGAGGAGGATTTACCACAGAATTTGGTGTGAAGGCGTCCCGATGATCTCTGACCTTTAAGCAGATGTGGGATGTCACGTAATGCACGTGTACTTGGATTTAGTCTTTAGAAAGTCTTTTATTCAGGTCAATACAGAATTTCTGTTCACCAACTGTTGATGATTTTCACATTGGGATTATTATGGCCAAAAATATAATATTATTGAGATAATTATGACATTTTTAGAAAGAAAATGACACACTCTGTCAAATCAAGAAAAATACAAGCAACAGATTTATGTAAATGTAAATGTTCTTTATTTTTACATCCCTTTACAACAACCCTTTCAGTGAACCAAAGTGCTTTACAATACATAGAACATTTAAATGAATTTATAAAAATAATAAAAAGCAATAAAAGCAATAGAAAAAGAATAAAATACAATGCAATAAAATGAAGTGTCACTGCGTTACAGGGTATTAAAAGCCAGCATAAATAAGTACATTATCAATCTGGATTTGAAAAAGTCCAGTTCGGAAATAAGTCTTATTTCGTAGGGGAGCTTCTGAAAAGGCTCGGTCACCCCAGTGCTTGGTACCTCCAGCAGAAGTTGATTCGACAACCTCAAAGCTCTATCCGGCTACCGAGCAGTTAAAAGCTCAGTTAAATAGATGGGGGCGAGGCTGTTAAGAGCTTTAAAAACAAACATTAAAAGTTTAAAATCAATCCTAAAAGAGACGGGAAGCCAACGAAGAGAGCTGAGGACAGGAGTGATGTGCTCACGTTTGTTTGTTTTAGTTGGCAGCAGCATTTTGGACGAGTTGAAGGCGACTAAGAGATCATTGGGAGATGCCAACATAAAGCGCATTACAATAGTCTAATCTTGACCTGATTAGAGCATGTATGGCTATCTCAAGGTCATGACGGCTTAAAAACATTTTGACTTTGGCCAAGAGACGTAGTTGGAAGAAACTAGTCCTGACAACATTGTCAATTTGTTTGTCAAACTTCAGGTGTTATGAATAAACTTCACTAGTACCTTATTTTTCACACTATAAGGCGCACTTAAATTCCTTTTGACTTGTCGGAGCACTGCAGCTACCGTAGTTTATTAAGGTTTATCTAGGTATTGTCTTAGTATGGAAACTCTGCTGTGATATAGTTCAATTACATGATATCAAAGACGGATTCCATGTTTTTTTTTAGTGTGTGCTTTTAAATTTTGTTTCACTTTTTCCAACATTGGTCTTCTTCATGCCAAGAAAACCTGCGTGTTGTTTAACACTCAAAATCCTCAAGGTAACTCTATACTAGAAGAAAAATCCAATGCAACTCTTCTAAGGTATTTGATCAAGCAGACAAAGATTTGCTTGTTTTATCTTCATATCAATCATGTCAGTTTGGACTAACCCCTCCTACATCTTTCACACACAGTCTCTGCTTCCTCTGCAGCCTGAATGGAATAAGTCACTCATGCGTCCTGGTGACTAGGTCAACCTCAGCTCACTGTAACACCCTAAAAATAGCCTCGTCTTTATCGTTTTTTTCCTGCAGGTGACACACACACAGAGACATACGACCACTTCAGGTGACCCTGAGGTATTTCTGTAACGGTGAAGGGGTCAAAGGTGAAAGATCGGCTGCAGAGTCTGGGTGTCTGCTCTCACGTCAGCCTCTAAGTTTAGCTGCACATGCAGACAGAGACGGGGGTCGAGCACGAGATCGGCGCTCCGGTCCGGCTGAGGCTGATCAGCAGGAAAACCCTGACGAGGCAGAAAGAGCAGCAGCACGCTCCCCGCCGTGTCAGACTGATGGACGGACAGGCGGCTGACCTCACGCCACCGCCGCATGTGACATGAGGAGCAGAGGGTGTCAGGGACGAGAATGAGACCCCCAGGATTTCACAATGTGAGGAAGATGAAGAAGAGCAGAGATGGCATGATGGAAATGAGGAGCACATGACGGAGGGTGAAAGTGTCTCTGCTCCATTTGTTTTCTGAGTGTACGTGTGCTGGTGAATACTAATCCTCATTTACCTTTGTAATGAGATTATAAACACCTGACTGCCAGCATGTCCCACATACTCTGCGTGTTTTTGCTGCAGTGATCCTGATAATTTATGAAAATGAATTCTTCACTCACTTAAAGAGGGCATTTTTTTTGTTAGTTGCACATCGGACTTAGATCCAATCTGGATTGATCCTGAACAGAGTTTTTTGGCTATTTTAGTTTGGGAAATAGTTTAAATTTATTTTTCTAACCATTGAAAAAAAGGAAAAGATCAGGTTCATCTAATCCTGATCGAAGGACAAAAGGAGGGAGAGTATCACCTGCCGATAGTTTGACTGCAGAATAATAATAATAATTACTGTCACTCCCAGGTATATTTGAGAGCATACGAAGCAATACTGAAGCCTCACATTGAAAAGGAGAACACCAATTCCTAAGAAGCAACAAAGAAATTTGGATAATGAAGGTAAAGATTCAGACTCAGTGTGCAAACCTGATCGACAAAATTAGATTGTTTTTCTTCCCAAACCTGCAACAATTTAGTCCAAACCTTTTGTGCAAAGGCTATTACTCATGGCTCTTTTCTTTTGTTTATTTAATTGTATTTATTACATCCAACATCTTCCAACATGTCCATGCTTGTTTGTGCAACTCCACATCCGTATTTACAAAATCCACTTTAGCAATTGAGCTTTTTATTTTGTGAATCGCATTTTATCGACAGAGAGAAGGACGAAATTTCAAAAACTGCTTCATTTGCTGCAAACATTCCTCGCTACAGACCTTCTATGCTGTGTTCAAATGAATCACTTGTTTAATTGCAAGTATTTGAACATTTGCATGTTTTGTTCTTGCTTTATTTGCACAAATAACTGGCTCCAGTTTTATGCCATATCTTATCTATGCCAGTTAAAAATGTAAAGAGAGGAGATGTTTCCTTCAGTCTGTTTTCATCAAACAAGGTTGAGGTGGACAACAGATAATCCAACCTCCACACTCACTTTCCTCAAAAATAAAGTTTCTTTTTATTCCCGTCTGCTAAAGGAATAAGTTGTGTCATAGAGTCGAAGGCAGCTGCATGCCGTCAGTATCAGTTTGTTCCCCGTTTTCCAGATAAATAAACCTCCACTGGTCTGTTGTTGACAAACCTAATCAGAGGATCTCCGTGCTGATTGGCTATCGCAGCAGGAGTTCAGATTTCTCAACTCTCACGAATAAGTAAATGAATCTGCAGTTGAATGCATCACAAATTCACTTAGTTTGCACGTAACACGTTCAATTCGCACCACCTGATGAAGTTGCTTTGGCTTCTTCGTATCAACCTCAACGTTGAGAACTTGAGTGGGATTTAATCTGCTTAAATTAAAGGTTGCTTTTATTTATATACAGATAAGAACGGGTTTAAATATCTGTTGAATTGTATGTTTTGTCGTAATAAAATCCTTATTTCTGTCTTTTATGAAAAGTTCTGTACCTGTATGAGAGGATTTTTCAAATTAAGTCAGTCCCTTTAGGTCTCACTTGGAGAGGGCACAATGACTCTATTCCAAAATATAACAGATCACAATTAAATTTTCCAGTTTGAATCCTAAAAGTCTTTTTGGCCGCGGCCGTCACTCTCATGTTCCTCGGAGTGTCTTTCTTTTACCGACCGTTTGAAGCTTGATGTGTATCTGTTTCGTTTTTTTTTTCTGTCTGCAGACACGGGTGAGTCTGTGGGTTTCGTTCCTGCTGAGAGTGAAAGCTTCTGTCCCCCCTCGTCGCTCCCTCCTCACCCACCCCTCTCTTCACTCTCCCTTTTTCTGGCTCTGAAACGAGGAGTGAGTCCCTGTTTCAAGAGGTTTGGAATTAGTTTGTCTCCTAGCAACAGCCGTACAATACAACATGGTTCTGTGAGAGACAGTGTGAGAGTGATGTGTGTGTGAGGAGTGTGAGAACTGATCTCCGTGTGTGTGTGTGTGTATGTGTGTGTGTGTGTGTGCATTAATCAGCTGAGCACACTTTTTCCACTGTCCTACATGTTTGTCGGTTTACTCTCATGTGGAAACCTGTTCCACTCCACGCGTGTCACACTCTTCCTCTGTCACACACACACTGGACACACACACACACAGATACATTCTTCATTCACAGCGGACAGCACTTCCTCCCTCGCTCTGATGTTACGTAAGAAGCTGAATGGAAACTGGTGATAAGCTGGAGTTTTATCACGAGGACAGAGGCAGTGACCATGAGAGTCTGGGTGGGACAAATTGTCTGGGAGAGGGGAGGAAAGAAGGAGAGTATCCTCTAAACAACCGCAGATTCCTCCCCACCTCCCACATGGCCACCATGATGTCACTGACTCTCTCTTTTGGCTAAAATATGGGTCAAAACCACGGACTGTAAAAAAAATGGATGTAGATTTCAGTAACGACTCCCAAGTTTTTTGGCGCCATATTGGAAATGCTGACTCAATACAACCTTAAGTCGATCTAACATGAGGCAAAGAGGTGGGGTTGAGGCCTTTAGTGTTCTCGCTACTAGCTCACCTGTAAGCCACACCCCTATGAAGAAAATGTCATAGTATAGTATGTTAAAAAAATGTCATAGTACAGTATGATGAAAAATTTCAAATTTTTGTATGTTAAAAATGTCATAGTATAGTATGATTAAAAAAAAATCAAATTTCTGTATGAAGAATATGTCATAGTAAAGGTCAGTATAGTATGATAAAAATGTCATAGTATAGTTTGCTAAAAATTTCAAATTTTGGTGTGAAAAGAAAATTTGATTATTAAGAAGGAAAAAAAAATGTCATAGTATAGTATGATAAAAAAAAAAGTCAAAATAATGTATGTTAAAGATTTTAAGTTTTAGGGTGAAAAGAAATGTAATATTTTGGTATGAAAAAAATTGTCATTGTATAGTATGTTAAAAATTCATATTTTAGTGTGAATTTTTTTTTTTTAATTGGAGTATGAAATAGTATTATAGTCATAGTATTGTATGTTAAAAATTTCAAATGAGGCTGTGAAAAGAAATTTAATTATTTAGAAGAAAAAAAAAGTCATAGCATAGTATGATGAAAAAGTCATAGCATAGTATGCTAAAAAATTCAAATTTTTGTGCGAAAAAAATTTCAGATTTAAATGTAAAAAAAAATCTAATTTTTGTATAAAAATAAATGTCATAGTATAGTATGTTATGAATTTCAGGATTTTGGGTGAAAAAAAATCAAATTAAGTTTTTAAAAAAATGTCATAGTATAGTACATGAAAAAATTTATATTTTAGTGTGAAAAAAATCTGATTTCTGTATGATAAAAATGTCATAGTATAGTATGTTAAAATTTTTAGATTTTAGTGTAAAAAAAAATCCTATTTTTGTATAAAAATAAATGTCATAGTATGGTATGTTATGAATTTCAAAATTTAGGGTGAAAAAAAATTTCTAATTTAGTTTTTAAAAAAAGGTCATAATATAGTACGTGAAAAACTTTATATTTTAGTGTGAAAAATAAACATATTTAAGTATGAAAAAAATGTCATAGTATGGGTTGATAAAAATGTCACAGAATAGTTCGTTAAAAATTTTATATTTCAGTATGAAAAAATACTTTCATGTTTGAGTATAAAAAATGTCATAGTATAGTATGATAAAAATGTCATAGTATAGACAAGCTTGTCTAGATGGTCTAAAAGTTGAAAAAGTTTTAAAGTTAATAATTATAATAAATATTTCCTGCAAATCCAATAGCGCTCTTTCCCGCTGCTTGCAGTGTCGACTCGAGCCCTAATAACTTTATGGCAATCATGTCTACAGAAAGACTGTTCTGTTTTTAGACTTGTTGCATTAAGGAGGTTTCGAAGCAACATATGCCGCCATCCAGACCATGACTTTACCCCTGTCAAATATGGTTACTGCTAGTCCAAAAGAAGCATCACGAGGGCATCCAAAATGCAGAATTCAGGAGCTTTCATCATGATGATTTGGGATTTTTTTACTACTATGAAGAGTGATTAAGTGACAAAAATGTCTTGGCAGTCTCTCAGCTTCAATATGTGTCACACTCCTTCTATCACTTTTACTTTCTTGAAGTCTAACTATTAAAACAAGCTTTTTATTTACTGGAGGTGAATGGGTTAAGTTGCCATGGCTGGGACTGTGAAATCTGAGAAGTGACTGTGGAGGGAGAAGGAAGGGGAGATTACTGGGGACAGAAGAAAAAGAGGAAGACCCAGAACGGTACCCTTTAACCTTCTCCTCTCTAAGCCTCCCCGCTGTTAGCCTTTCTTCTTCCCTTTCTTCCTTTTTTCCTCTTTTCTTGATTCATTTGTGCCATTTAAAAGCCCCAGATTAAACTCCAACACCTGTGACAGCTCTATTTTTTTTTTTCTGGGGGACTCTTTTTACGGTTACACCACTCCAGACAAGGTTCTTTCCCTCCCGGTGTTAAAGCTCAGCAGTAAGCGTTTCCCACTTCCGCTGCAGAGCTGAATCAGCCTCCAAGAATGTGCAAACCCTGACTCACACTTCCTCCTGGATATGACCGAGCTTCCTCTCCTCCGCCAACTGATTTAGCCTCCCCCTCCTCCCCCCCTCCACCCATCTTCCTTTCACTCCCCCTGAAACCGCCCAAACTCCTTCCTCTAACAGTTGAGGTTTGAGAGTGGAATAAATGAGTCCTGGCTCGTTGACCGACTGCAGCAATAAGTCACCGGTCTCAGTCATCGAGCATGTGACTCATTTGACTTTAATTTGTCGGGTCTATATTTAGACACTGCAGTCTGGCCTGATGATCATTCATAGCAGAGGACAGATGGGTCTCTGTTGCATCGCTTAAGCTGACAGCAGGTCTGCAGTTAGTGTCTCTCGGGCAGGTGAGCTGCAGGTCAAGTCTTATTAAAACAACTTACAGACTGGTAGTCACATCACAGGTAAAGAGACATTTAGCCATGCAAAAAAAAATAGGTTTGGTTCCAGCATCTGTATCAGGCGCGGAAACTACAGATACTAACAATACCAAACTTTGCACATCCGATTCATGTCCCAGTGTTGTTATCCTCGAGTTCAGAACTTGATCTCAAGCCTGATTCAAGTCTTGATTTTCACGACTTGTAAGATGACTTCATCTCCAGCAGTGGTAACTCAGAAAATATTATAGTATAACAATAAGGTCATAAGAATAATAATAATAATAACTTTATTGATGCCCAAAGGGAAATTCAATTGTCTGTTGTCTCATATGTCATTTCTCTAAAAGTCATAGTATAGCATGATAAAAATATCATAGTGTAAGATGATAAACATGTCAAAGTATACAATGATGAAAAATTTCAAATATAGTAATAAAAGAAGTCACAGTGCAGTATGATAAAAATGTAACATAATAATATAAATAATGTCATAGTATAATATGTTAAAAATGTCATGGTATAGTACGATCAAAAAAAAGTCATAGTATAGTATGATAAAAATGTCATGGTATAAGATGATAAAAATGTCATGGTATACTATGATAAAAAATGTCAAATTTTAGTAATAAAAAACTGTCACGTTGTAGTATGATAAAAATGTAATATAATAATATAAAAATGTCATAGTATAATATGTTAAAAATGTTATAGTATAGTTAAGCCTGTCTAGATGGTCTAAAATATGAAAAAAGGTTTAAAGTTAATAATAATAAAAATAACTTGTACTAATATTTCAAGATATTTTGGTTGAAAAACATTTATTTTTCTCTGTGAGTGGTGGTCTGACACTCTTTGAATGCACTCTGCAACAGTCTGAGTCACTGTGTGGGCTTCATTTCAGTCAGCTGTTCAAGACCCTTTTGTTTAATCTCGCCTTTATTTGACCTGTCTGCTTCTACATAGTTGTTTTTATGTTTGTTTCCTTGTTTCCTCTTCATCTTCCATTGAGAAGCCTGTTCTTGAAAGATAGATAAACTATTTATCCACTAATATTTAAAAAAAACAGAGCAAAGATTTATTTTGTTATATTTTTATATATATAAATATTTGCAATCTTGACCAAGTTTGTGTGCATATTATGCCTGAAATCTACACCATACTGAATGACTGAGCAGGAAGTTTCTACAAACTGGTAAATAGTGGTGAAAATAAAAAGTAGGAATACTAATCCTGTAAATTAAATGTGCAGTTATATATGAGAAATTAAACAATTGAAATATCTGCATGTAAATTTTTCATTTGTAATATTGCTGTGAGTTATTTGGAGCCCAATAAGTGAGTTTATTTGGTGCACAATTTATCAGTAGCCGAGTAAACTCTTCCATATTGCGTCACGCATGCTTTGTATTGTTGCGTCTTGCGTTGCACTCAGCTGTTTGCGTTGTGTTTGGCATTTGAAGGGCAGCATGACTGTGTTTAGCCTGGAGCAGCAGAAAACTCATGTGCCAGGCCTGACCTTAAGAAAATAATGCACCGACAATGCTCCTGACCACACCTCGCTGCAAACCAACACACCCTCCGCCGAGAACATTTACCGACGAGGGCGGATGAATGAAAAGTGCGTCACTCAGGAGCCGAGAATGACAGTTATGTCATGATGAGCTTCTGTAAAAACTCTGAGACCTTCACAGTGAAATCGAAGTCAACATGACACTGTTTTTAGAGTTATTCAGATGTTTCATTTTCATTTTAAGAAGTCAGAAGAATCTCCAATCCTCTCTTACATAAAAGCAAGATTCTCTGCCTGTTAAGAAACTGAGGTGACGTCAGAAAAATGTAATAGATCACAATATATCTGAGGGACTATATATGAGGGACTATATATATCATGGTGAAAGAGCTGCACCTTGAGTGGCTGGGGGGTTCTATACCTCGCTTTAAGGGATATTCTGGCGTAAAATTAATTTAGGGTCAAACACACTGTAACACCAAGTTAGACACCCCCTCTAGAGATGAATGTTGCCGACTGCTTGCTTCTCTAGTTATACCAACTTTAGTAACGACAGCAGGATAGCAATACACAGCGGTCTGAGGAGCCATAAACAAACCTCAACCAAAACGCCACTCTATAGCCACAAATAATGCTCAGAACAGCACCTAACTTCATCAACAGTACATATAGGGTCCCAGCCATAGTACTAGAAACCAAACATATTTCTAACTTTGCCTAATTTCTTTAGCAAAGAGACTAAACACAACTCACCTACTCTCTTCCAGCAGCCGCTTGTTTGTACGGAGACCTCAGGCCAGTCCATTACAGACTACAGCGGGGTGACGCAGCTTAAGGAAGAACATTTTTGATCATTTTTATATCATTTCCTTGAAGTAATAATCGCCATATTAATCATTTTGCACTGCAGATGCGGTCGTTTTTCTGCCTTAGCGTCTCGGTCTGATTGCATTTCCATGAAGAAATGATCATAAATGTTCTTCCTTGAGCTGCGTCACCCTGCAACAGTCCGTAATGGACTGGCATGACATCTCGCTACAAACAAGTTGTGTTGTGAGTTGTGTTTAGTCTCTTTGCTAAAGAAATCAGGCAAAGTTAAAAAGATATCTGGTGGCTAGTATTATGGCTGGGACCCTATATGTACTGTTGATGAAGTTAGGTGCTGTTCTGAGCATTATTTGTGGCTATAGAGTGGCGTTTTGGTTTAGGTTTGTCTATGGCTCCTCAGACCGCTGTGTATTGCTATCGTGCGGTCATTACTGAGGTTGGTATAACTAGAGAAGCAAGCGGTCAGCAACATTCATCTCTCCAGGGGGTGTCTAACTCGGTGTCACAGTGTGTTTGACCCTAAATTAATTTCACGCCGGAATATCCCTTTAAGAGCACTTTAGCAGCTCTCTGGTCTAACTTTCTTACTGTGGCCTGCTCCAGATCTTCATCAAGCAACCTCTTGATTCCCTGAGTGCTTGAAAGTTCCTTATAGGAGCTTTAAAGAAAATTGTTGCAGTGATATTTAAATGTTTTATATGCAGCAGCTTTATTTCAAGACCAAAGAGGTGAAACTTAAGATCGAAACACGAAGCGGCTGAGTGTCTGCCCCACTTTGAGTGCAGGACAGGTATCCAGTCTGACCCTGACACCTGTCTGTGTTACCTGCTCTGTAAAGTAGGCCACTCCCTGCCTACTCGAGTGTGAAGCGGAGGTCTTTTTCTCTGAGCGCAGTGGAAAGTTTATCTTGTGACCAAGGTGTGCTGCTGTGCTGATTATGCAAACATCCCTCAGCCCGCAGGAGCCTGCACACACACACCCGCCAAATGCATGCATGCATTCACCTGACTCAGGTGTGACGTCACGTATGACAGGTGCCTCCGTGGGTACAGCAGGACCTGAGGCTGTGTGTGTACGTGTGTGCGTGCATATGTGTGTATGCATGCTCTCTGAATTGTTTGCAGTGTTTACACATAACAGTTTGATCGTTAGAGAGCGAGCCGCGCGTCAGGGGAACTGGGAAACAGCGAGCGGTGATGTCACACAGTCATAACCAAGGAAAATATTGTGCAATACCTGCGTCACTCTGCACCGGGACAACAGCAGGTCAGAGCTGCAGCCGGCCGCTCGACCTCCAAACAACATCTGTCATACAGAGCCACGGGTTAGTCAAGGCCCAGTGACTTATACTGCAGGAGGAGACGGAAAGCACCGGACTGTCCTGCACCCAGAGATTATCCGATGACTGTTTGAGGCACTTCAGATGACCAAATATTGTGGTATGTTTGGAGAAGGAAGTAACACAAGCTCACATTCAGCTGCCTTTTCCTGTTTCTAAAAGTCACACACACACACACACACACTTAAAAAGAGACAATGATCCAGCAAAGTCTGAGTGAAACCCTAACCCTCAGGTCTCCTCTTACAGAGTGAGGTTTGATACCTTACAGCTCTGTTGGAAATGAAGACTTAAAGCCCACAATCCCCTCCTCTCGGGATCTGAAAGAGGAGAAATCATGAGATGAGTTCATGTCATAAATTTGTAATGAAATGTGGCGTTCGGTGATGCAAATAAATACGCGTTATCAAAATTGGCTTTCATTTTGCATCCTTCAAAAGAAGAGAGAAAACCTCTGAGGAAATTAGCTTTCTTGAATATTAAGGTGTGCGACTCAAACCTTCTGATTCTCCTGAAACTACTCTCTCAAACTGGTGAAATTTGCATTCATTAAAAAAATTTCAAGGCCTGTGTCCTCAGAGCTGGTGGCGCCCACTGCTTTACCTCTGCACTTGTTGCTTGGTAACCAAATTTTCTCCTTATTTCAGCTTTTCTTGATAGTTAGCGTTAATTCTGTTTCACATAGCTCTCAAGCTTTCTTTTGTTTTTTAAGGTATTTTATGATTTAAGAAAAAACATGAAAGTAATAATTCTCAGAGGATTTTGAATAAAAGCCTGCCTCCAATACAAGCCTGGTTCATATTTGTGAGTTTACAATATGTAAGCCATGGTCCTCAGTCGGAAAAAGGTAGATTGCCTTCTCCAGGTCAGAGGAGAGGTCCTGCCTCAAGTGGAGGAGTTCAAGTATCTCGGGAACTTGTTCACGAGTGAGGGTAGGAAGGAGCAGGAGATTGACAGGCGGATCGGACCGGCGTCAGCAGTGATGCGGGCGCTTAACCGATCTGTCGTGGTGAAGAAAGAGCTGAGCCCTGAGACTCTCGATTTACCGGTTGATCAACGTGCCGATCCTCAGCTATAGTCATGAACTTTGGGTAATGACCGAAAGAACAAGATTGCGTCAGGAGGAGTCAGCTGAGGTGGCTCGGGCATCTGGTTAGGATACCTTCTGGACGCCTCCCATTAGAGGTGTTCCAGACATGTCCCACCGGGAGGAGACCTCATGGCCGGCCCAGGACCAGGCGGAGGGATTATGTCTCTCGCCTGGCCTGGGAGCGCCTGGGAATCCCCCCGGAGGAGCTGGTGGAAGTGGCTGGGGTGAGGGCAGTCTGGGCCTCCCTCCTAAAGCTGATGCCCCCGCGACCCTGACCCGGATAAGGGAAAGGAAACAATGACGACAATATGTCAGCATCCTTTATACTCATGTCATTTGATTGACACCTGCTAGCTCCACCCATTTTCTAATCAGTAACAGTTTGCATGCATAATCGCCTTTTCTGCTCTGATATATACATGTAATGCCAGGTGAAGGTTCTGTAATATTAGCAGAGCTCTAATGTGTCATTACTCTCTTAATTTAGACTCCAAAACCAGTGAGAGCAAAGCCTTCATTTACAATGACGTCAAGTGTATAAAAGGAGCAGTAAAATGCAAGATAAACATATGATAAAAGTATGTCGTAAAAGAAAGATGATCACTTAATATGTCAAATTAAGACCCATAAACTGATCTCATCACCGTCAACAAAAAACGTAGATAAACTCTGAACTCTGTGACTGAAAAGTAAGCAGAAAATAAAAAGATTGAAAGATTCAAAAGAGAGTTTTAGTGTTGGAAAAATCTATAAATGTGGAGTTCTTATTCCTCCAAAAAAACTGTCACAAAGAAAAACAGGAGATGAAATCTGACATTCAGTGACTTTTACAGGAGACATTTCACAGAAACTCTCAGGACAGTACTCATTATTGTCTCCTTTTTTTACCAGCAAGTTGGGCAAAAGTAACACAATTTCAACAGTTTCCTGCTTGGTCCCTCCAATTTAAGAGCTTTGAGTCCCACCTGTTGCAGCAGCGGAGTTCCCCTCAGAGCCCAGGTGATGCAGCACCTGTCAGCGAGGGAGGACGTTTCTTTATGACCTCAACAAACACAAAAAAATCCACCTGATTTTTGATGCCTTTTTAACCCCGTCCTCTCTGACTAATGTCATTATTACTCATCTTAATCACTGTTTTTTCAGAGTGTGACCTTTCCCCCAGTTTATCCTGTGTCATACATCCACAGCATCAAAATGTGACTAATCAGAGCGAGTGTTTTAAATTAGCACCATCGGCCTGCTGTTAGACCGACCTCTGAGCTGATGGATGACTGTCAGAAGACTCACTCTGACTCAAACGCAGCACAGGAAAGAGGTTTTTAAGATCCTGGACTCAGGCCCAGACTGCCAGTTGTGTTTGCCATCTGCCTTTTTTTTTCTGCAGAGGACTGAATGTACAGATTATCCTCCTATATGAGGAGAATTTCGCAACTCATACACACACATTTACCAGTGGAGGACGGGACTTGATGTAGACAGTGTGAAAGTGGACATCGAGGACAAACTGACAGGGTTTGTGGACACTGCCCCCATGTGGCTTCACTCCAGCCAGAGTCAAATCACACACATGAAAAACTCAAATCCCAGCAGGTGATCTTGTCGATTTACTAGAAAAAAATGTCTATTAGGCTTCATCTAGGCCTGCAAACTCCAGTTACATAGCTTATTCAAGATGTTACGCTCCAACAATAAAACCTGAATCATTTGCAATGAATGAAAAAATTCTACCAATTAAATAACAGAAAAAATACTGATCATGTTCTGGATACAATAAATTTGAAAAGTGATTTTTTTTTCTTGTTTTACTGGCAGATTTCCTTTCCTACTCATATGTGATTCAGGTTTTATTTCTGTTGCAAAATATCTCAAAATAATATATATTTTCTGGACTTTTTAAATGAATTTGATTTAAATTGAATGAATCAAACAAAAGACAGAATCACTGGTTAAGATTTGAGTTTTTGCAGTGCAATGAGCGTCACAAAAAGAAAGTTTCTGTTCTTCTGTTTTTCATTTTTCACTAGAATCACTGTTTATGTAAGTGTTTAGTTGAGGTTATAATGCTTATCCTGCCCTGACATTTACTTCCTATAATAAATACACACTCGTGATAATCCTTCAGTATGTCCCTGTTATTAAAGCAGAGAATATTGACAGCTTATATCCTAATAATCCATTTTTAAACGCTTTATTTATGGACGTTTTTAATACTGATGACTCAAACGGCTGTCAGAGCCGGTTTCCTCTGTCATTCATCGCTCTAACAATGATCCTGTCAATCAAACATCAGCTCAAATATTATAAATAACCTTAAAATTAACCATTGTTAAAGGGGGATTATCTAACATTAATTCTATAAATATGAACACAGCATTATTTATGTTGTGATTTAACGGAGGAAGTCTGACACTGGAGCAGGACGAGCAGCTGAATAATTTCCTCCTGAACATTTTTAAAGCGTGATTCAGAGATGAACTGGACGCCCACTCATTCAACCTCATGTACTCATAATGAACTGAGAAAATAAATGAATTAATGAATGTAGCGAGATGTTTTTCAGGGGCTTATTGTGAACTGTGACGTGAAATCTGCAACACAAACCCTCTTCGTTTCCTATAGAAATTCATCTATATGATTTTATTCTGTAGAGAAGGTAGAGGGCGGGTTAAAGCTGAGACACAAAATAATCTAACTGTTATTTCACCTGCAGGTTGAATACAGCAGGAAGATAATGAGAGGACTCAAGATTAAGACAAGGTTTAAAGAGGGAGTTAAACTAATCATTTACCTGGCTATAGCAGTTTGTTTACTCTGTTTTAAAAGAAGTTTGGTATGTTCTTTCTCCATTACATTCTGTTATATTGCATTGCAAGTGTAGAGCAGTTTATGACCAATTACCAGTTTGGAGATCAAATAAATGCAATGAAAAGCTCTTGCATTTCAGATTTGTATTTCAAATCAGTTCTGCACCTAAATGTGATTTTTGCAGCTGGATTTTCATGCAGATTTATCGTTCTTGCTCTTCTGCACACATGAACTAAAAGACTGCAGTGTGCATGGATTAAAGACAGATATTAAATGTTGAAGACGATTGAGTTTTATGTTTTAAAAGATGCTTTTCTTAGACAAAGTGAAGGGAAAAACTGTAACAGAATGAAATGTTGATTTTGGACCTAAATTACATCATGATTACAGTTTTTCACAATCATTTTGACTCATTATTGGAAACAGCTTAAACTTTCTCCAAACTGAAATTACAATTGTCACAGAACAAGTTTGCACAAGGTAATGAGTCACCCAAAATATTTCATTTGTTTTTGAAACAGAGGTTTTTTTCCACGGAGACAGAGCCACCCTAACGAACAGTTGTTGTTGTCGATGTTTGAGCCATACTGCTCAGCATGTACAGATGCTTTTTCACCATGAGAGCCACAAATTGCATCTTCGGGAGTAAGCAAAATTGAAAACAGGCAAAAAACATCTTGTTAAAAAAAAAAACAATAACAACAATTTCAGTAAAAAAAAAAAAAAAAAAATGCAGAAAACCTCCCCTTAGTGATCCATACAGTAAAGCTCTCATCCGTAGTGGACATCCTCTTGGTCTTGTTGGTCTGGCCGTAGATTTTCTTTAATGTCACATGGCATTGTTCCTTCTCTAGGGAAAAATGTCCTTCATAGTCTTGGATCATGATTTGTAGTCCATTACTCACACATATCAGGTCTCTTTCCACCTTACTGTTGCAGAAATCACAAACACTTCACATCATATTTAATATTCAGAGCATACACATGTATGTCTGACAGGTTCTGATAATTAAACAGGTTATTTTCATATGATGCTCAAATAACAAAATCCTGTTTATGAACTGTGATCTGGCTTCAGGGCGAATCACAGCACAGAGATAGTACTAGTCAAAAACTGTGAATGACCCCAGGTAAACATGGATCAAAACACATCTTGTGCTGCTTGACCTGAGCGCAGCTTTTTAAAGTATTGATCACACAATTCTTATAAACAGACTTTTTATTGGCATCTCTTATCAACCAGTTTAAATTTTACCTCACAAAAAGTAAATTTCATGCAGTTTGGGCGAATGCTTATCTGGACACTATAAAATTGAATTGTGGTGTTCCCCAGGGGTCAATACTGGGTCCTCTACTTTTTAACCTTGACCTCTTGAGAATGACATCAGGAAGCACAGCATCAACTTCCACAGCTATGCAGATTACACGCAGATTTACTTTGCAGTGTCTTCTGATGATCAAGAACCAGTTGACACCCCTATAAGCTGTATCTTCGATCTTAAACAAATGGCAGAAAACTTTTTAAAGTTCAACTAGAACAAAACACAGGCTTAAGGCATTGATACTGGTGCTCCCAGAGACTGAACTCGAAAACTCAAACACTGTTTTTGAACCCATGTCAGCAGATACAGAATATAGGTGTGCTATTTCATCAAATTTTACTTCTGAAGATTGTATAAGAAAACCTTGACTTTCACATTTATTATTCAGTTAAATTCTGCACTGCAACACAAGTGTGGTCTGCAGCCTTTAAGAGAGGAGACAGCCTTGGAGTGTTTATTCTGTCAAATACAGGGTTTGTTTATATACATATTTCTAAGGATAACACTGTTACACATTGAGAAAAATATATAAATCCAAAGATGTGTGAATGAACTTGGATAATCTCAAACTGACTCAAACATCACAGACCCAAAAAGCTGATCAGTGCAGATGAATCACAGTACCAAGAGGAGTTGACGTGCCTTTTACCTTAACCTACATTTCTGCTCTCACCTCTTAACACAACAGGAGGTGAGTCTTCATGAGGAGTACTCTGGCTTTACACACACACACACACACACACACACACACACACACACACACACACACACACACACACACACACACACACACACCTCAGAAACACATACATTATAGTGTGTGTGTGTGTGTGTGTGTGTGTGTGTGTGTATAAGATCACAAGACTCCAATCAAGTTTAACCCGAAGCTTCCTGTGAGTCACGGCTCTAAATGCTCGGACTCATCGAAGAGGAATCTGAGTGAATCTGGATATTGGCACGGAGGAGGAGAAGGCGGAGGAGGATTTATGAAGAAATATAAAGAGTTAAAAGTGTATTAGGTTTCAGGGAGGCAGCAGAGTGTCTACTGTGCTCTATAATCAGACAGATACCAGTGATGAGCAGCACAGACCTGTTGGTTCGGGTGGAGCCGCAG